TTCTCAAACCTGAATCTGAGGCTCCCAAAGGTTTATTCAGTGCAAAAGGAAACCCTGGGGAGCCTTGGAACCAGAAAAAGGGAAATAGGAAGCATGTAAAAAATGTAAATTAAATGTATTCGTGAAGATGCCGGCCACAGAGACTGGTGAAACGTTAGGAAGAACAACCTTCAGAACATGGCCAAAGAACCCAAAAAACCCACAACAACCATGTAAATTAAATGTTTCCTGTGCTTGAACTTGTGCCTGAACCTGTGCAATAGTATTTTGCCCAATGTTATCAAATATTAGAGACAGTGTTTTTCAGAATGTTCCACAACTCTGTCATGGCTCAATCACCTTGAAGAAAATTACCCATTTCATTAATTCATCTGTACATGACAAGTTTCTCACCCAAATTCTAAAGATCTGCTTTCGGAAGGACCATACTGAGATGGGTAACTTGTAGCTGCAGCTCCCCTCAGCCCCATTCAGCAATGTCAATTGTGAAGGAAGTCTGGAGTCCAGCAACATTTGGAGGGGCACAAGTCATTCACCCTGTTCTGTTTAAACATTTCCCCTAAAGTCTTAAAGTCTGTTTGCATCTTCTGTCTTGATTATGGGGTATTTTCAGAACCATCCAAACAGTTCAGCCCTCCCTTAATATCATGGTTCCCTCCCCTCCCCTCCCCTCCTGCTATATGTTTGCATGCAAAGCAGTCTTCTCCAACTTCAGCCTCAGCTGCCATGGACAGATGTTCCAGGGGCTGCCATCCCTCAAACATTTGGGGAGTACTAGGTTGGCAAATACTCAGGAACAGAGAGTTTGGAACACTATGCGCACAGGAGTACCCATTCTTTATTGAGCTCTTATTTTTTCCTAAGACCCTGATATTCCAAATGAGTGTTTCAAAAGAGCTCCGATTTTGGAATGCATATACTGTATTATGTGACTGGTTCTGGGAACACAGGAACCTATCATGTACTGAGTCAGACCATTTGGTCCATGTAGCACAGCACTGTCGACACAGAAGTGCAGTGGGGTTCCAGGATTTCAGGTGGTATTCTTTCTTAACCCTCCTGGAGATGCTGTGAGCCAGCAACCTTCAGCTTGTAATATATGCTCTCCATGACTCCTCCCCTTCAGTTTCTGTGTCCCTCACACTACCTCCTGTGTTGTGTTAGGCACTTCACCTTTTTCGTTCTCTCGAACAGTAAAAAACCTACTGCCATCCTCTATCTTTTTATTAAACCAATAAGTCTGCTCAAGTCATCATTCTCTTATTGTTTAAACTTAATATTAATGCAAGAAGCCTCCTGTTTTTCTGCTCAATTAATCAAACTGGGAAGCAAACTCAATGCTACATGCTCCCTTGCAGGCTTATACAATCAAGATGTATTCCTTCTACTTACAGAAGCATCCTCATCAAAACAGCCAGATAATTGCTAGAGGTAATTAAAATTCTGTAATTATTATTATGGCCGACAGTAAATGATTTATGAGAAAGGACAGAGCTTGATTTTTATTAAGCTAAAACCCCAAAGGGGGTAAGATATAATCAGCAGACCAGAACATTAAACAAACCTGACAGAAAGTCAAGAAAGAGAGAGAAAAATACATAGGCCATGCCAATGTGAAAACAACTAGTGACAAATCTGTTGCATGAGGATTTTTTTGCATACATGAAAAAGCATGTTATTATAGTGAAACACAGGATTAGTAAGAAAAGCTGCAAGTTTAGTGTTGACTGTAAGTTTAGTAGTGGTGACTGCGTGTATGCCGTCAAGTTGATTCTGACTTCTGGCAAACCTCTTCAGGATTTTCCAGGTAGAGAATACTCAGAAGTGGTTTACCAGTCCCTTCTTCTGGGGGCATCCTGGGACTGTGCTGCTTGCCCAATGCCAAACAGACTGGCTCTTCTTCATGGAGGTACAGTGGCCAATCAAACTCACAACCTCTGGCTCTAGAGCCAGATGCCTATCCCAGAGCTATCCAGCCAGCTAACGAATAGTGTGCCATTAAATCAATGCTGACATATGATGATCTTTTCCAGGGAGAGAATACCCAGAAGGGGTTTACCATTCCTTTTGGGTGGGGGCACCCTTGCAGCTGTGTAGCTTGCCCAAAGCCACACAGGCTGGCTTTTTCTCCCAGGAGGCAGAAATAAACTACCAACCTCTGACTCTGCAGCCAGATACCTAAACTTCTCAGCTGTCCAGTGGTAATTATCAAACTAAAAATAATAACAGACACTACCTTCTGAACCCCCCTCTGTGGACATAGAAGATAAATGGGGGAAAGCTGTGATGTGCCTTAAATTACTGACACTGCAGGCTCTAGTTGGGATGTAGGTTTCAAAGTTTAAGTTTTTCAGATTACAAAAAGAATGTGACTTGAAAAAAACAGAAGTGATAGTTCTGAGCCCAAATTAACACTGAAGTTATAGAATTGGCACTAGATACTGGAGGTAGTCCAACTGAAGTGCGCATAGAGATGAGATGCTCATCTCTGTGGATGAAAGAGATGAAAAAGGAATCTGGGGCGGGGTGAGTAGAAAAGCACCCAGAAATGGAAAATCTTAGGCATGTCCATTATCCCACAGCACAAGGGGCTCTGAGGTTGAGGTGTGCATGTTGTGTAGCAATTATACAACTTGTAAAGTTTTTACTTCTGCATATTATTCCTTTTGTCACGGAGGGGCGGATCCTTGGCTTTTTTCAAAATGAGAAATTTGTTCTGTGTGATCAAGTCTCTTCCAGCATATGGCAACCCTCCTAGCAGTCTTGAGGTGATTCCCCTTTGCCAGTTCTCACCCCCACCCTTAGTGAGGTTCCATGGCTGAGTGGTAATTTGAACCTTTGTCTGCCAAGTCTCTATCCTCTACACCAGTGGTCCCCAACCTTGGGCCTCCAGATGTTCCTGGACTTCAACTCCCAGAAATCCTGGCCAGCAGATGTTGTAGTGAAGGCTTCTGGGAGTTGTAGTCCAAGAATATCTGGAGGCCCAAGGTTGGGGACCACTGCTCTACACCACACTAGCAACCAACAGGAAGAAATATATACCATGTATCAGATCAACTGTTCTACATGTTGTCAAAAGCTAACATCCAACATACAGTAATTAAAGTATATTATTGACGAAATATGCTGTTTCCTCGAAAATAAGCCCTAGCATGATTTTTCAGAATGCTTGTAATATAAGCCCTACTTCCAAATTAAACCCCCGTTAAGTGAAACCCCACACTCCACCGTAGTGCAGCAACAATGGTGACAGGACTGTGTTTGAATAAATGTAGATTGTTGTACATGAAAAAAAAAAAGCATCCCCTGAAAATAAGCCCTAATGCATTTTTTGGAGCAAAAATATAAGACTGTCTTATTTTCAGGAAAACACAGTAATTTACACCTATAAAAGTGGTTTTTAGAAAATATAGCTTTCAGAAATTTGCCATTTTGCTTTTAGCAAAGTTATTGAAGTATTTTTACAAATCCAGCCTGTTTCAGCCCAGTTATTTCCACAGCAAAAGTAGAGAACATAATAATGTTGTTAGATAATTGCTTTAGAACAGGGGTGTCAAACTCAAATTCATTGGGGGCCACATCAGCAGTTTGGTCCCCATCAAAGGGCCGGTTGTATCTGTGGCTCTGTCCCGCCCCCCCCGGCCTTATGTCTAGAATGGTGAGAATGCATGTGATTATGGTTCAGAAGCACTAGATTTACTTAGTACATCCACATGGGTGCCCTGTTATAAAACAAAGGAGGTGAACAGGTGAAGTGTAATTCTTCTGGCCCCTTGCTCGTTGCCTACCTGAGCTAGATAAGCCAGGTTGTCAGCTTGAGAACTACAGTACTGCCTAACCCTTTTCGGGCAAGAAATGAAGAGGCCCTTGCCGACCAAACCCGTGGTGTGTAAACCCACTGCAAAAGTGTGGCTTCATAGTCAGCGCCCTATCTGTTGCGCTTCTGCCTGTCCAGGAGTTTGGCCCTCCTCTCTCCTGCACCCCCACTAGTCTGAGCCTCTTCAGACGGCTGGAGCCCTCGGACCTCCTTCACTTGCTTCTGTTTGTTTTGATGCCTCGTCGCCGGCCTTTCCCCCACCCCCACCCCCCGCTCGGTGACGTCACACACACACACACGCCGAGAAACCTGGGTAAGGGGGCCATCGCCCGGCGGAGCCTGCGCCCTCGCCCCAAATTCCAATGGAGGGGTCGGTTGGCGGGGGAAGGAAAAGAGAAGGGGGAAGTGGTGCGGGCGTCGTTGTGATGTGTGTGTGGCGCCGTGGCCCTTCCGTCACTCACCGAAGTCCAGGAACTGCTTGATCGAGAGCGGCGACGGAGAAAAGCGAGAGTAATACTCGATCTGTTTAGGGACGGGGCTCTTCAGGAGCGCCCCGCACAACCTCATGGTCGGTCCATGGGTGGCACGGACGGGCGAGCTAGTGAGAAGGTGGGAGGGAGTTAAGACATCATCTTCTCTGGCAGCTCATATGGCTTCCTACAAAGGACAGCATGGTGTCATGGCAGAAATAGCCTTGCAGGAGGCAACCGCCCCCATAGATGCACTGGGCATATGGTAACCCCATAACCTTAGCAATGTATTTCTAAGTTTATCACCTTTAGAAGATCTCACCCATACGTTTGCATATGGAGAAGTGGGCAGAAAGGCATAGAAGGGCACACTGTGCGGGGCACCACTGTACTCCGTGCAGGCACAGAGTAAATTCATTGACAAAATAGAGGGGAGGCTGCAAGGATGGCACCGTCTCCGCGGGCCATCAGACGAGGTGTGGCGGGCCGGATTTGGCCTGCGGGCCTTGTGTTTGACACCCGTGCTTTAGAAGATGTTCTTCTACTAGGTTTTGCCTAGTACTAGTAATTCCATGGTACACATAGGTGTATATATCTCTCTGTAACATTCATAGAGGTATGCTATTGCAATATACTGAAAAAAATGTGAAAAGAGTCAAAACGACGAATAGTCTTCAGCTACTGACGTAAAAAAGGACTCGCAGACAACAAAGTGACATGAGTAGTTTAATTCAAACAAAGCTCCTTGCAATATTAATTTCAGCAATATCCATTCACAGTGGATATAAGACAAGGACAAACTCATTAAGGAATGAATTGGGAAGTTGCTCAGACCACTCCACCAAACACTACAGCGACATCTCCATTCAGTATGTCTGCTGCAGAGAGCCAGGGAAAAGTCATAGAAATGAATGGCTGTTGTGTAACACCAAGCAGATAGTGCTGGCATTGTCCTTTTATTTTTCTTTAAGCTCCTGCTGTCATTGCTAGAACTAACAAAAAAAAATACTGGAGGGGAAAAGATTTCATTTTAAATATACTGGCATCAAGTCAGACTACATTTTAAAAAAATGGCTTGAACATGCAGTCACAAGGAAATTATTTTTGTGTTGTCTATTTCCAGGCTGCAGTCTTCACAGTGCTTCTTCCATGCTGTTCTAGTGTTGCCATTTTTTAATGTAAAGCTAACTTCTACTGAAGCAGAGGGCCTGTCCACAATTTTTATTTGATGGGGGAACTTTCTGACATGCAGGTTTAAGTTGCTAACAGGAACAACTTAAACCCCACATTAGTTCTCTGTAATTTATTTCCAGCCCAGGTTTTTCATTGTGAGTCTCTTTGGCATCCTTTTGCTGTGATGGCTTTTATGCTAAGTTTCAAAAGTATACTTTCTAATGTATATTCCTTGATTATACATTGTGTATTCCTTTAGTAACATTCAGATAGATTCAGGTCTGCATGAGAGCTACTCAGACTGGCACGAACAGCTTAACTGCCAGGCCCCAATCTCAAAAAGAAATAGACCTTTAGATAGTTGGACTAATCAACAGATAGTTGGACTAATCAACCAGTCAATGGTTTTGTCTCAAATATATGGGGCAGGGCACACACCATGGGTCTAAAACTGGCCGAGACATGAGCCTTTATTTCAATGCAAGATGCATGGGTAGAAGAAAAGCAAATGGTACTTTGATTCTTGCAGCATAACAGCAAAATACATTGAAACTGGTCAGGCAAAATGACTATTTCACTGAAGATTCCTTTCTCTCAACTCCCTTCTATCAATCAAAATGGTTCAAGTGAGAAAAGGAAGAAAAGGCAACTACCACTGCCTCTTTTTTTCACCTAGCCAGACACCTGGAAAGAAAGCATCACTGCAACAGCCAGGCTTGAAGCTGCCTCTCAAGTCCTCACTGATTCAACAGCACCTTTCCTCCTCTCTGAAAAAGAATCTTTATGACACTAACATGAGGCAGAAGACACAAAACCTGGCAAGCATAGAAGACAGAAGGCTAGAAACACACACACACACACACACAATTTCATAAAGTTTTAAAGTATGTGCTTAGGCTGGATTGATACACCCTGAGGCTGCCCCGACGGCCACATAGCAGTCCCTAACATATCTATCCACAGCCACTTGTTTGAACCGCAAGAGAACTAAAATGCCACATACTGTGGCCCAGACAAAGATGTTGCAAAAGCAGCAACAAAAATCGGGGGGGAGGGTGTCAGAATCTATAAATTCTGAAGAGGTGAAGACTAGTATTTTTCTGCTATATTCAACAGTAGATAATTGCATAGCCTCTAGTGGAAATATTCTAGGATTCTTCTCTGTAAACAGTAATACCATTTAGCTTTTTCTCTGAACATAGGCATGAAGATGTAAACATTTAATTCAAGAACAGAGATAAGTTTATTTCCTCCCTTTAAAAAAACTTCTATTTGTGACATGCAATTCCTCATCTCTTTTGGTTCGATTGAGCAACACTTATTCCGCATTATAAATATACAATTAAGTTCAGTACCATTTCACTCAGTCTCTCAGATTCCATTTTAAGACAATATTTTATAATAAAAAATATTGAACAGAATATACTTGTTGTATAATTATGCCATCCTCCTAGAATATTAAAATTAAATGATTTACCAAATATTGGCACCAAATCAAGAATCATATACATTGAACTACTTTGCTTTGAAAATGCTGGGTGTGAGAACCAAGACGATCAGTTCAATCAGATGAGAAGACAATATAATTTCTTTCTCCATATAAATGCAGACAGAACTGATGATGATGACTAGACAAACCATACAACATCATTTAGGGCCTGATCATACAGAAAGCTGTTGCTATTTTATTCTTAACATCCTATGATTAGAAAATGCTGTTATTTCTGAAGATGAGATAAACTTTCTTTGATTACTGGCACTTTCTCTCCAGCCCCAAATACCCGAAAAAAGGCAGAAACAAAGAGCAAAAGTTTATAGTCCAGATTATGCAAAGTCAAGATGTTTAGCTTTTGCTAACCATATCCTGCCCCCTACTTCTTCCTATTCTTTCTTCTTTATAAATGAAACCTTATCTTTAGTTTCTTGTATCTTTTCAGTTATCCTCTCTTTTGTTTCTTCCATTTTCCCTGTTATCCTCTCTTTTGTTTCTTCCATTTTGCCACTAATCATGTCTCTAGTTTCCTCCATTTTTCCTGATAGTCGCTCTTTTGTTTCTTCCATTCGATCTTGAATGTAGTCCTTGACTGGAGGTGGTGTGGACATGTAGCCATGCTTACGGAGATACTTCACAGTAATAGATGTACCTCCTAAAGTCACGGTGTATCTTGCTGGAGTTGCAATCTTGTCAATAAAAAGAGGGTGAGATAGATATGTGAGACAGTGTAAGTAACTTTGACAGAACAATCAAAAAGGGTGTTCTAAAATTCAAGCAAAGGCCTCTACTTGTAATACTGTTGAGAAGTCTGTTAACTCAGTTTTAGCTGTGCTAATACACAAAACCTATTTTTGCACTATGGCATCATTCTAGTCTTGTCAAGGAAACTTACTCATCAACTTTCCTGGAGGTGAGAGACACTTAGAGGTCTGGGATCATGTCCCAAGCTTCAATTAGCCTTTCAATGACTATTAAAAAGATGTAACTGGGCAGTTTCTAATCCTCTCTACCTGCAGCACAAGGGCAGGTAAGTACTTGTGCATCAGGAGTAAAACACTGGTGATCCCGCACTACTTGCCGGTTCTAATGCAAGCAGATAAATTCTTTCAGGTTTCTTATGTTTGATCTCCTAGAAGTGAAACAGTAGAACTAATTTGTAAAACACAGCAAACTTTGGGTGGGAAGAAAAAAGCTATTTAATTTACATAATATTGCCTAGTATACACTGAACTGAAGTACAGTGGTGCCTCGCAAGATGAAATCCGTTCCGTGGTTAATGCCGTCTAGCGAATATTTCTTCTCGCGAAGCGCGTTTTCCAAAAGGAATGCATTGAAATTTAATTAATGCGTTCCTATGGGGGAAAAGTCAGAAACAAACAAAAAAAAAGTCAGCAAAAAGTCACTTACCAGGTACAGTAGACTGAGCCCAGCTCCTCACAGGGCCTTTGTAGCCCCAGAACAGCCGGAAAAAGAGCGCCAAACAGCTGAGAGGCGACAACCAGCAGGGAGGCAGTAGCCATTTTGTGGTCATCTCTGCTCCTGCCCCCCCGCCTCTCAGCTGATCAGCGCTGGGTCTAAGAGGCTTCCCAACGCTTGCCTAGCACGGAAAAAGGCAGGGGGTAAAGCGGGAAATTTAAAAATGGTGCTTTCCCCCTGCCTTTTTAGATGCTGGGCAAGCCCCGGGAGGCTTCTGAAAGCAGCGCTTTGTCATGCCCCCCCCCGTCGCCAGTGCCGCTTTCAGAGGTCCCCTGACAGTCTTCCAATGGTGCTGGGAAGACTGGTGGGGGACCTTTGAAAGTGGCACTGGCTGTGGGGGGGGGGAACAGCAGCCTCAGGAAGCCTCTTAGACCCAGCACCGATCAGCTAAGAAGCGGGGAGACAGGAGTGGAGACGACCAGAAAATGGCTGCCGCTTCCTGCTGGTTGTTGCCTCTCAGCTGTTTGGCGCTCTTTTTCCGGCTGTTCCGGGGCTACAAAGGCCCTGTGAGGAGCTGGGCTCAGTCTACTGTACCTTGTAAGTGACTTTTGCTGACTTTTTTTTGTTTCTGACATTTTCCCCCATAGGGATGCATTAATTAAATTTCAATGCATTCCTATGGGAAACACTTGTCGCAAGACGATTAAATTTCAATGCGTTCCTATGGGAAACACTTGTCGCAAGACAGAAAATATCGCAAGACGGGGCACCAAAAAACTCTCAAGACCCTTTTGTCTTGCAAGTTTTTCATCCCACAAGGCATTTGTTTTGCGAGACACCAATATTTTTTTTACTATAAACTTGATCAGGATTTGCATTTGTGCCTTAAACACGGCTACACATATCTGCTTCTGAGGACAAAATTAAGGGCTTATTCAAACATACTTTGAATAGACATTCTGACTTTGGAAATATTTTGGGATGCAAGAGAGCTGTATGGCGAGGAAGATACAGAAAAGTTTAAGTCTGCTCCTGCAACACTGGATGAAACAATGTTCTCTGTGAAATACTATCTTCCCAAAATCTCTGGAGCAGTACCGCTCTGCAGCATAAAATAGTATGGATCAAAATTAACTCAAGGCAGTAGAAGTCTATCATTTTGAACTGTGGTGATGTAAAACATATTTTATCTGTAAGGGTAATTTCTTTACCTCTGAAAGGACCAAATAAGATTCTCATGTGATTTTAACATCCTTTCTAATCATGTACCTTGTGCGCTTGCTCACTCTTTCCTCCCACCCAAATCTTTGTTCCTCAGTTTCGAGTTCCACATAATGACATATCATCAGGAAATTTGTGGGAGGATATATACTAGTTCCTTCTACAGTGAAGGCTGATGGATTGGCAGTTTGTACCTACGAATAAATGCTCTCTGTCTCTTGAATTAGATTAACCTTGCCCTTTACTTAATATTGTTGTATTCAGCATAAGAAAACCAAAGATAAATAAAAATGAGAGAAAACAGTGAATTCTGTTTTCAAAGCAAGAAAATAAGTATTTACACTTCAAGAAAATCAAAGCTATTCTTGCTAAAATATTTTTTGAAAAAAATTAAAATTAAAAGATATTTTTTAAAACAAATGCCACTGCATTTTTAATTTTCCTTTTCAATACTGAGAAAGCGGACAATTCCTGCACTAGAGACATAACCTTTAAAGGTTCCTCAACAGAAAACAGGTTAAAGATGAAAATCTTGGGTCTGAAACAACAAATTGTACTTTGAAGTTTAGGCTTTCCTGGACTTGATCATGTTGATTTCAACACAACTAAGGCATCTAACAGTAAGGGAAGAAAAATTCTATCCGTTAATGGTTTCCCTAGCAACTGAGAGCACAAATGAAAGTTTGTTCAGACAAGAGATGTATCTAAGATGTATGAATATGACATGGGAGAACAATTTGTTAAATGTTATTATTGGTACTATATACTGTATCTAGCATGTTCACTATTCAAAGTACTTTTTGTTTCCCCACCACTCAGAACCTATTTGTGGGGGAAGGACATTATCAGTGAACTTACTAAATGGCCCTCTCTGTTCTCCATTTGTGGAAGAGGAATAACAAATGTGTGAAAGCTTAAACCATGATTATTTTGACTCCACCATTGGAAAAAAACCATTTTTCAGTAGTTCACTATTTGTATCATTAAACTATAGGCTAGTTTCACCGGTCCACATGTACTCCTTTATTCACTTAACTATATTTATATATTATAATTAAAAGATAGAATTAAAGACAAATCAATAGTATGAGTACTGCACGATGTTTCCAAGACATGCATCTAGTAATAATAGATGCTATTCACATTATAAGACGTATTGCTACACTATTTGTGCCTTTCTGTGTGATAGAGAAAAAAATTATAGTACCTTAAATACTAACTGCTATATTATTAATCTGAGCTTTCATGAATCAAGCTCACTTCTTCAGACCATAAACATTGACATTAAATACACTAGTTAGTTTTTAAGGTGCCACAATGTTTTTGTCTGGTATCTATGTGATAAGAGTTTTAGAAAGTTGAGGAAAAAATTTTAGATTATGTCTGGCCCAACACAGATACACTAAGTTTAGCAAAAACAAGGAAAATAGAAATCTTAAATAGAGTGCTCCTCAACAACAAAATAAATCAGTGTTTCTCAATGTGGGGTCATTACCCCTAAGGGGGTCACAATATGTTTTCTAGGGGGATTGCAGGTCACCTTATATGTGTTGTTGCCCATGTTAAATAATTTCTTCCTTGACCTTTCAGAACGGGATATTAAAGGTAATGTGTATGTATAAAAAACAGGCCTGGGGGGGGGGGGAGAAAGAAGTCTCTGCTTTCTTAGAACAGATCACTTTAGCTCATTAAAATATTGTTTTATGTAAAACGTGGTGGTGGTGGGTGTCACAAATTACTTGGCTATTATAAAAAGGGATTCAGACTTGGAAACGGTTGGAAACCATTGAATTAAATGGATTATGGAGAATTGTCAAAAATATTCACTCATGCTACTGCCTACAACTCTTCTCGTACTTTATTGCCACCTTTAAATACTTCCTGGTTTATCTTTTTCTCAGAGCAGTCTGTTCATTGTGTTTTTCACTATTATCTTCAGCCCCTCTCAGTAATATATGTATCTCTTTATATATTACCATTTTCTCAACGCTCCATGTTGAGAAGCATGTGAAAAAAAACCCACATCATCCCCAACCAGGATAAACAGCTTGAGAAGACTGCTATAGTTAACAAGAAGACAGATCCTAACCCTCCATCTGGAGGGTGCAAGTGTGGTCTGGGGAAGGCTAAACTACAATATATTTGTCTACTCTGAGCTCGTGTGATAGGCTCCAGTCAGAGTAAGTTTAAATATGGCTGTGTTTATTTAGCACTGAATTCCAGAGCTCGTCACAGCTAAGGACTACACAAGAATATTGTGAGGGCTGTGAGTAGCTGTACCCTTGAGGTTTCTTCTGATTAAAATCATTTTTTTAAAACTCTATGCTACTACTTACCTTATACATTGCATATGCAGTTAATGCATTTCCACTCTGGGAATTCTTTAGAATATTTAGAATGCTTTCAGGCAAGTGTATGAATTCGAGGAAAGGAACGACATTTACTCCTCTGTGGAAGAGAAACCTATTTTAAAAAAAGGCTTAACATCCTTGTAAACATTGTGCTTGGTGCAGCTATTAAGCATATGTGATTCTTTTGGTGCAGCTACTAAGCATACATGATAAAATGCAACATTAATTTACCACAGTAAAATTCATTATGCTTTTACTTGTACCAATAAAGTTAAAGGACCCAAAAACCAATGGATAATAAGAAAAATGACAAATAATATAATTCAGGAAACAGTTCCAGATTCAATTGATCACTTTCATACTTTAAACAATTCTGGCTCAACTGAAATTTCAAGTTGTTTTGTTCTTTGCCTGGTCTTTACTGTTGTTAATTGAAAGAGTTGAAAGAAAGGAGTAAAAATAAGGAGGGGGGCTATGTTTGCAAGGAAGGGTCATAGGTCAGTGGGAGTCCATATATGTGGATGTAGAAAGTCCCAAGTTTGGTATCAGACATCTCCCTGGAATTGTGTAGGAAATGCTGCCGTTAGTAAACTATATGGGCCAAAGTTTTGACTTATTTAAGTCACCTTTGTGTATTGAAATGGCTCACAGGGCTGTTAATATTCGTAACAGAAAGCTCTGTTTAAGTCCTTTAATACGATGATTGACTACTGGAAGCATATCATCTTTCTTACTAAAACTCATCCATGAACTGTCATTCAAAATTTTATTCCTTTATTGTTTTAGATTAATAATTATATGATAACTAGGACAAACATGAATCTCACTCTGAAGTAACTAAAATTGTTTTAATAGGATCCCAAATCACAAAATGTACCTGGCTTGCATATGGCATAGGTAACCTATCAGAGGGACATCAATAAATGTACCCATGATCTGACTATAATATATACAATACACTTATTTATGGAAATTCTTCCTTTTAAGGCATAATATGCTCGGATCTCATGTTTTGCACCTACACATGTGAATGAATGATAGCTTCTGACTGACATAATTGTTTCAAGAGGGGAAAAAACCCTCAACAGTGCTTTTTCTCTGGAAAATCTAGTTATCTGTTATACAGAATGCAAACAAGTGATTTTAAAAGCTGTCTTACTATAGTGATAAACAGTAAAGAAGGAAACACACTGCTCCATACTTTTGAAAATGTTGACTACTAGAATAACCAGGTCAGTTGTATCATTCACTGATTCAATCCGGACTAAGAATATAACAGTTGTCAGATTTAAGTAAAATATTATTATACTACATGGAACAAAGGTAGGTTGTAACTGGAAGTTATGAGCCTCTGACATCAGAAGATATTATAACTAAGTGTTTGTTTTAGTTACTCTAACCAACTGGCATTAAGTGCCCTTTCTAAGAGCTACGGAGCCAAATGTCATTCTAAATTTATCCCTTCTAAGAGTAATAGTTTCCAAGCTATTTAATATTTTGGTTTTCACTGGATTCAAATAAAATTTCATCATCTTATATTTTAGGATGAGTAAATGTCAACTATTTTTCCTTAGATAACAGTCATTAAAACACATTTGACCATTGTCATGTTGAAACAGAAGTCTATTAGGTAGATAAATGGTTTCCTCTGCATGCTATAAAAGCATGTTTTTTTTTAATCATGCCAGTTGTTAATAATGAAAATGGGAAGGGAAAATCCTAAGTACATCATTTATATTGCCATTCAAAATTTGGACTTTAAAACCAATACTTGTATACTGCTTGAAAATGTTATTTGTGATTACACTGTTTACATGAGTTGATGCTATACTAAATCTGTTTTTTTAAAATCACTCACTAGTTCTGAAACACTACCTGTGCCTATTCTACATCCTTGGAAGATTGCAGCTACTCTTCTAACTTCCACATTCCATTATGGTTCCCCCCCCCAATTGCCTTTAAAATGGAAAAAGTCTCCTTGTTTCCTCTAGCAGTAAATATTTTTACAAATTCAAGACAGTTGGATAGTCCCTCAAAATGGTACAATTGCTCAAATACCTTCTAGATGGCAAAAGAAGAGTTTCCGAGCCATTTGTTTAAAATTAAATTTTGAGTTGGTGGGTGGAAAGCTACAGGGTCCCGAGGGCATGGGGGGGTTGCACATGTACCTCCAGGTTGCATGCAAACCATCTGCTGCCCACTCTCCCAATCATAAGAGAAATATATAATGCAAGTTCATAACAAAACAGCTTCATATTTAATCCAGCTTTTTCTTATATAACATTTGCCTTGTTCTTCAGTGGCAAAGAAATAAGGCAATGTAACTCAGGATTTTATTTTAAATATTCCTACGATGAACATATTTTGATTTAAATGGAAATGTTCACAAATTAACTGTAGGAAAATAATTTTAAATATTGTCTATACTATATACATCCTCTAGTGTCTAATTAAATAGGCATCTCTGATGCACCTACTTTTTTATTTAAATTATCAACACTGTAATGCATTACACAATATTAAATGAAAACTTTCAGCTCTTGAAGCAAAGCCAAGATTGAAATGGAAATTAAAATAAGTACTAGAAGTATGAATACTTCAACAAAAAAGCTTACTACATAATCAAACTGAATCAGAAATTCCCACAAACAGGTTACTTCATTTGCTTCAGCAATTCAGTATTAAAAATACATAAATATCTATCCTTAAGATTCTGGGAAGGACTAAGGAGACTTTACTTCATGGTCTTCAATGAGGATGCTTATGCACTAAGGTAGGTGACAGAAATAGCGTTAGACTCCTAAATGCAACTTCTGAGCAACTGCCACACAAAGACAAAGTGTACTATAATAACAAGCATTATAAAGAAACAGAACAACTAAAAAAAGAAAAACAAAGATTTCATCCACAAAATAACCAAAAAATCAGATGGAAACTTTAAAGCAAGATCAGAGATGTTGAAAAATCAGCAGGGGACTATATTATCTAGTCATGATAAAATAAAGACAAGATGGAAATAATATACTAAATAATTGTACAGAAGAGATGCAAAGATGACAGATTCCTTCAAATAAATTCTTTGATGAAGAACTTGCAGTGTTAGAAAGTGAACTGAAAACTGCTCTCAAAGCACTTGAAAGAAATAGACCACCAAGAACAGACACAACTCCTAGCAACGTTATTAACAGATGCCAAATAGAGCTATTTTAAGCTAAGAAACTGAATCTATCACAGTCGTGACAATATGCCAACAAATGAAAAACGAAACAACGGACCACAGATTGGAAATGTTCATAATATATTTTCTCTCTTTTGGATTAGATGTAAGAAATTATAGGAAATACAGGGCTATCACATTAATTTCTCATGGAAGTCTAGTGGTGTTCAGGACTGTACAAAAAAGGTTTTATACTATGTATAAAATAAAGTGTGTCTGATGTTTAAGCAGCGTTCAGAAAACTAAGAAGCACTGGAGATAATACTGCAATATATATACCAGTAGCATACCAAAGAATTCAAAAACAAGATCAGTTTTAGAAGACATAGCCATGCTTATCTGTGCTAGCATATCAGGCAAAAAAATAAAATAAAAAAATAAAAATAAAGAAGACAAAAATGTTGTGGCACCTTAAGGACTAACTGCTATACTTTAAGGGGAGCCGAGGAAGTGGACTTATCCATGAAAGATCCTATTAAAATATAGCAGTTAGGAAAAAAAGTTTGTACTTTTTTTGACAAAAAAAGTTCACTACATAATCAGACTGAATCTGGAATTCCATCTCTTGTGTGAGCAAATTTTTGACTATGCAGATCATAAGTTACTCACTGTTCTAAAAGAAATGGATGTGCCAGGACATTTGAATGTCTTGACACATAATCAACACTATGGACAAGAGTCTCCTGTTAGGACACAGTACAAAGAAACCTTGATTACATTCAGATGAAGGAGGAGTGAAAATTGGTGGAAGAAATATTAATAATTCAAGATATACAGATGATACCATATTACTGGAAGAAAATAGTTACTGTATATGAAACTGTATATGAAGCTGTAACGGATTGTCTATATTTTGGTTGAAATAAATACAAAAGAATTACACAACTTCAATGTTGACCATGAAGGAACTGAAGCTGTAACAGATCACCTATATTTTGGTTGAATCATCAATCAGAATGGATACTGCAGCCAAGAAATAAGGTTGAGACTTGAAAGAGTATCTATGAAGGAACTTGAAAAGATAAGAGTAAGAATGTGTTGCTGGAAACGAAGACCAAGGTTCATCCATCCTACAACATTCCAAATTACTATGTACAGATGTGAAAACTGGACAGTGAAGACAGCTGAAACTGAAAAACCGATTCACTTGAAATGTGGTATTGAAAGAGAGCTTTATGGATACCATGGACACCTAAACAGACTAAAATGACAGAGTCAATTTTACTTTGGATCTATCATAACAGGACTCAGCTTACTGGAACAGAAAACAGTGGTGGGAAGAGGAATATCTAAGAAGAGATGGAATTGATTCAAGTAAAGGAAGCCACAGCTTTTAGAGGCTGCTAATGATGGGACCTTTCCAAGGTCATTAATTCCCAGGATTGTCAAAAACTGGATACAACCTGATAGCATGTAATAGGAAGCATCTTGATCCAATCTCTGAACAAAGTCGAAACAAATTTCAAATCATGCATACAGCACCTAAGCTAGTTATAAGCAGAAGCAGGGTTATAATGAACACTTCTAAGAATGCACTCTTCTTCACTACCCATGTCCTCCTGAAGTGTGATGGGGCACCCTCCTAGTAATCCTGCTTGCCATGGATTAGCCCTTGATAATATTTTACCACATCAGTAATGGGGAAACTGGATGTTCAATTTGTATTATAGTGGTACTCATATTCTTACAAAGAATAATTAGTGGTACATAATATACAATAGGTTCAGAACCACTGGCCTAAGCAAAATAGAGCTTATTTTGACTTCTTTCACAGACTAACTACATCTCTATTTCCATTTTGAAAGCATGCTAAATACATGGGGCGCCAGGTATTTCACTGCTTCTTCTGCCCATTAATTACATGGCATTTTACTAGAAAGGAGCCCAACTGTTGTATCTCTGCTTAGGAACCACCATAGATTCTTAGGTCGATTTTGAGATTTAAATTAATGATAGTAATAAGCAAAAGCAAAAAATAAAAAGTATGCTGTTTATATACCACTCCATAGGATTTAAAAACACTTTCCATTGGTTTACAAATTAATTATGTAGGCTACACATTTTCCCACCCCCAGCAAGCTGTGTACTCATTTTACTGACCTCAGAAGAAAAGAAGGCTGAGTGAACCTCGAGCTGGCTACCTGGGAGTGAACCCCTGGCCGTGAGCAGTTTTGGCTGCAGTACAGCAGTTTAACCACTGCACTACAAGTAGAGCAGTTTAACCATTGTGTCATGATAACAATCATGTTAGGCTTTACTCCCAAAAGTGTTGCCTTATTACAATTTCTGGATCCAGGTAAGGATTTCAATAGGTGTCAAGGACAATCATGGAAAAACTCCTAAAAACTACTTTTTGCTAAGGCAATTTCTTCAAAGAATTTATGTTCCTTATTCAGTGAGAATGATAATTTATTCAAAGTAAACAGACTCCACGTGAAGTGACAAATGAAAAATGTATATCTCTTTACATATTGCTGAATGCAATTCCAATCACACCTCACCACCAGCTATGCTAGCTAAATCTGATGGTGCAGCACCAGCTAATCCTGACACTGACACACAGTTTCAGTGTTCTCAAGAAGACAGGTGCGTTTTCCCCTATGACATATACTAGTTCAGTTTCTCTTCTTGTATGAAGAACTTTTCCACTCTAAAAGGTCCAATGCTTCTCCTAAAGGTTAGTTATTGGCAGCGAAAACTTCAGCCTCAAATATGTGGTCATTTTTGCTCATCCCTTTGCTTTTGATCTTCTCCACCACTGTAATGTGCCTCTCTGTAACTGAATTTGATCCTCAGGCTGAGAAAGATTATCTACAACTGTTCGATTAACTCTAATTTTCTCATACTGGATGGGATAAAAGGCCAGTGAGGTGGTAGTGGTGAAGCAAGGCAACATAATGTCACAGTAAACAGCCATTGGCTGAAATCCAGTAACAAAGCTCTACTACATAAGACTGATGACACCCTAAGTTCCAATGCCATTTTATTAAAAAAAAAACCCAAACATTTCTTACCCCTGCCTGAAGGTTCCCTTAGGATCCATTTGATCCTGGGAAAACCTTAGGGGACAGTGGGATGTGTGGGGAGTCTTAAATGTCTGAAAATCACTGCTGTTGGACCAGGTGCTGCAGTTGGACTAGTGGTGGGGATTTTCAGACATCTAAGATTCTCCTCACATCTTGCTGTTCTCAAAGGCTTCCCCAAGTTTGACGAGATCCTAGGGTAGCCTAGGAACCTTGGAGGAGAGGGGTAGAAAAGGATTTCTTTAACAAAATATGGCCACAGCTGATGACATCATCAGGTTTATGAGATTTAACTTTGCATCACTGGATTTCAGCTAGTATAACACAAGAAAAATGACTGAGAAGATGACAATAGCTTGACCTCTCAAACTGAGAAACATTCCAATAGATGTAATGCCATCATTTTTAAAGAAGGGTAAAAATCATGAATTAACACTGCAGAAAGCATTAAGAACATAGATGTGCACATGAACACAAAATTGAATTGTTATGGAAGTATAACATTAACCTTTACATCCATCCATTATGACTTGCGATTACAGTAAGTACTACCTGTAATGTTAAGCTGTAGCTCTTTAATAGCTGTCTGTCTAAGGATCCATAATGCAAAAGTAATCCTATTAAGATTTAACTTGAAGCTAATATACATAGCTTTAGTGAACCATCACTTACTTTAAAGCTGCATAGTAAAAGGTTCCAAACCATAGGGTGGAAGTTACAAGGTGCACAGGGACCAGAACTTTGCCGTACTGTTTAAAAGTTTTCTTGAATCTCTGCACAAGACTAATTGACTTGTCTTGTAAGGGATCAAGCTCTACAGAATCTGGTTGTACAGGGGTTCCGTAAGCTACATTATCAGGTGATGTGGCAGGATTTTCTCTCTTTAGTTCTTTATTGTGAGGGTTGTCTGGCTGGGATGATGCCTTGCCCAAGAGTTCCTGTTCCTTGGACACAAGGAGACTAACAGATGCATGCAGATGTTGGTGTTGGACTCTCAGAGGCATGGAAGCCATCTTCTGTCTACTATGAAGCAAGGAGAATTGTCCTTTCAAGCACTGAAATATACAGGTGCGATTCAACATTGACGATGTCCTATATGCCAGCTGAAATGTTTTCTGCATTTTGGTTGAGGGCAACAGCATACTGGAGATACTGTAGCATACAGCTCCTAAGAAATGATAACAAATAAACTGCTAAATTAACAAGTAAAAATTTGCTCTGGAAAGCCTAACTGTAAGATAACAGTAAATACAATTTTGAAATGTTTCGCCAAATCCCTCTTCCACAGTTGGAAACATTTTAGCAGTATGAAGCTATCTTCTCTTTATAAGGAGAAAGACAAGCACTACAGTGAAATACAGAAAATATGATATTTCTCGAATCAGTGGGAGTGTGCCACTTAAATGAGAGCATTTTGCCTTAGATTTGTTTCTCTTCCAGGAAACTAGAGAAACAAGTCTGAAACAAACCCTGGATTCATTCTCTTGTTCACCAGGAGATAAACAAGAGAACAGATAGTATCCATTTTCAAAGAACGTGACAAACCATTGAATGCAACTTTTTTTTTCTCAATTGAATATTGAGAATCATTTCCCCCATTATATTGATAAAGACCAACAAGCCAGGCTTCCTGCATTTCCCCGGTAATTTATGCAGCTATAGCCTCTATATTTTACATATCAGATATAGAATAATGTCTTTTTTCATACCTAACACTGACACCCCATCCACTAAGAAAAATAAAAGGAACTGGAACAGATCAGAAGAAAATAAATGTCCACAGTTTTTGTTACAGCTGGGTCAAAAATGCCCCTCTCCTGCTCTAGGCTTCATTCATCTGTCATAAAGGGGAAAATCAAAGACTGCTAGGGGCTGGATTGGCAGATTATAGTAATTGCTAGGAGGGCAGCAAGCATACCACTAAGATAAGCAATAAGGAATGTTACAGTTCTCTCTTTTTAAAATAAAGCTTTGCTGCTATTTTAAGAAGACCCTTTATTTTAAAAAGGGAAAATTTTTATCCTCTGCTGCCTCATTTTAATAATCTACTACAGGGCTTCCAAAAGTGTGTGCAGTAGCACACTGCAGCCTCTGTGGTGCTCCACAGTGCTGCCAAATCCAGCTAGCAGCATAGCAGATTTTTTTCCTCTTTCTCTTTGCCAAGATGCTACTGTTGCTGCTACTCTTCCGGCTCTAGTCTTGGCTTCTTCTGGCTTGTTTTCTTCCTGCTCTGCCCCACAGCCCTAGCCACTCCTCCTGCTCAGTCACTACTGCAGTAGCTCAAGGGAGCCGTGAGTTGGAGAAGTTTTGGAACCCATGATCTACCAGATCAGGATAGCACCTAAAATTCAAAAGTAAGCCTTTGCTGTTTTGCACTGCCTTCACAGAAAGGAAAAGGGTCCAATAAATTGTGTGTAGTCTAGTTTGCATAAAGATCTTCATGGCAGTGTAGTGCTTTAAAAGGACAGTTGGAGTGAAGTCAATAGATAGGACATTTGGATAAAGGGTGGATTCAGAGAATAGGCAAACTGCCAAAGAGATTGCAGTAGCTGGCTGCCCAGCCACTGCTTTCCACTCATCTGTGGTCCTCCCTTCATTCATCTTATGTAGAGGGCAAAGCAAGAGAGTTACACTTAAAACTGCTCTATTTTGGTCCCTCAAGCTCTACTGCCAAGCATGTACATTCTGGAAAGTGGAGCAGAAAGGGAAGCTACATCTTACTCTCAACATGTTTTCAAGTTAGAATGATCCATAAACTGAAGCAGGAAGAATGGATGTATTTCACTGTCTGAAAGCAATTTTAACCAATCGTATGGAAATAATTATACCAAGTATATCTTAAAGCTAAAACTGCCTCTACCACTCAGTAATTTAAACAGCATGGAAGCAGTACCTCAGGGAATGCAGTTTTCCTGGTTTAATTACCCAAATAATGCTATCTGCTTACTGTAACACCCATACTGCTTGTTGTTCAGACACAGAGAAATATATCATTGCTATACATTTATAAAGATTTAGATTTTAATGACTTCAGAATTAAAAAATGCCTGCACTTGTGTCTAAGAACTCCTGTGAATGTGCTATGGCATTTACACCTAGTCTTTATGAGAAATAGTGCCTGAAAATCCTCCAATTACATGTGTTTATGTCAAAATAAGTATACTGCACCATGACTGAAACTGAAATTTCTTCTCTAATGATAGCACTTCAGACTACTTTTTAGTACTATTCGCTCTGACCTCTACATAAAGTGATTTAAAGTTACAGAATGCCCTCTGCTGTATCTTGTCAGCACTGCAACTAATGGTGCACTTATTTCATTTGACCAGTAGGAGGTTCATTAATCCCTGTATTTGCCTCCCAAAGGAAGATTGGTTGCAAATGTACTTTTCACAAAGGTCAAACTTCCTTAATTTCCTTCTTGGTCCCTTTCCTCTCTACAATCACCACCTAAATGTAAAGCCCTCTCTGTTTACAGCACCCTAGACAAAGACATTAAGTATAAGCAATGGATTTGCATCAATTTTATTCCAAATGCTTTCTACAAAATGGTTTCACTGAATTATACAGTCTGTATGGTCACTGTTTACAGGAAGGCAACAAAAGGGATCTTAAAAACCTGATGGGCAATCACTAAAGAAAGCACATCTTGGACAATGACCATTTTGCCAGTTAAACATCACCCATGTGAATTCTTTGCATCAACCTGAGTTGACACAACATTTCTTTATGCTCACCAGGTAAAAATACTAATTTGAGCTTTTATTTGACACAACTGGCGGCTTTGGCCTAGTAAATGAACCGAATTATAACCGTTAACTTGTGCTAGAAGCTGCTAAGTTTCTGTGTTGTCTTTTCCCACCCCCACAGCTAAAAATAAACTTTTTTAGTTTTAAGAAAGCAGTGTGAGTATGTGGGCAATCACAGGTTAACTGGCAGCCTTTTGGTCTCAAAAACTGAACCATGCTGAAGAGACACTTGAGGCCAAGCCTCAAGAAGATCTAGATTATCTCTCACATACATGTAACATCAATTTTTGGGTTCCACTCTACAATTTTTCTGTACTTTCCATGAAGGAGGGGTGCTTTACCCAAGGAAGCAGATTTAACCCATGAAAGCTTGCGATCTGTTTAAATTTTTGTCAGCAAATAAAGGGTATTGCCCTGTCCTGCATCTGCCTCTTAAGGTGGTTGATTGAGAAAACATTGCTGTCACTGCCTCTATCCTTTTATTCAATTTCTTCCATTTCAGCTTGTTTGGAGGCAAGGGGATTGTAAGAAAGAGAAGTGCCAATGCTAGATTCATATAGTTAAGCAGATACTCTATTAACTACCATTTTCAAAACGTTTTCTTCATTACCAAGTAGTGTGGCACCCACAAAAAAAGGCTTAGGTATTAACTTAGCTAGGCTTTCCTGCCCTGTGACACGTAGAACAAAATCAAATTATTTCTAAAAACTGCTCAATTAAGGGATCTAATTTCATGGCTGCTCTCATAACAAATGAAAGTGCCACAACAACTAGAGATCTGATTTAAAACTTTATATTTAACATTGAAATAAAACATCCAGTCACATCCTAGGGTATCATTTTAAATATCCTTTCTTCTGTTAGATAGATTTTTCAGTTCCAGTAACTCACTGTCAACCTAGTCACAGAATCTCAACAGAAGAAAAAACTGGCTGCAGAATGATGTTGTGATTCCAAATCACTTACTTACTCCAATGCTGAAATATTGTAATTTTCTTACTTTTGAGTAATCCCAATAACATTACTCCAAAATAAATAGGTAGCCTATACAATACCCTCTTTGTTCAGAAAATACACTATGAGATATAAATGAAAACACTTGAGGCTTCCAAAATATTCAACATTTTCAGCTTATTTTTTATTAACAGCAGGCTCGACTAGAGTTAAGAGCATTTACTTTTAAATTAGACAGTAATTAACTTTTTAACTGAAGGTAGGAAAGTGTACTGGATTTTACAGCATTAAGGTAGCAACACCACAGCATAGTCACACACCAGTCTTATTAAAAATAATGTAGAATCCTTCCACCAATGATTTATCCAAAATAATTCAACCTTAAAAGCACTACATGTGCTCTGATGGGTCTTGCATTGTTTTAAAATGTCTGTGCCTTTCAGGGTTTGTTTTCTGAAAGGTGCTTTGTTTAAAAGGTGTTCTCTCCATCCCTTGCTGCCCCCTTTCCCCCCAAAAGGTGCTTGTCTTGATTGAAAAGGTGCTTTTCAAGGTGTTCTGTTGTCTGAAAAGTGCTGTGGCTCGACCTAAGAACCAAAAACCAGCCGGAACGGATTAATTGGTTTTCAATGCATTCCTATGGGAAATGCTGATTTGACTTAAAAACTTTTTGACTTACAAACTTCTTTCCAGAACGGATTAAGTTTGTACGTCAACGGTTGACTGTATAGCCATTTGAAAAAAGCTTGTAGCTCAACCATATTACCAAGAGCTGAGGCTACATTCAGAACAAGTTGAAAGTTAACAACAACAATAATATGCTGTTAAGTCCACTTTGACTTATAACAGCCCTTTTCCATGGTGTTCCAGGCAGAAAAAACAGAGAAGTGGTTTACCATTCCTTTCTTCTGAGGCATCCTGGAACTGTGCTGTTTGCTGAAGGCCACACAGATTGGCTCTATTCACAGGAGTCACAGTGGGAAATTGAAAACTTCTGGCTCCACAGTCATATGCCTAATTGCATACTTGTAAACTGCTGAGACTCCAATAAGACTTATTTAATTTTGAGATGAACACCGGAAGAAATGAGTGTGTCTGCTCATTTGACTAGTAGAATGAAATAGGAGAGCACATCTTTCAATCCTCACATGGTAACATTTAATGTTATATGTGTAACATAACAGGAAAACTTCTGCAACATTAGTCAGAGAAGCCAACACTAGTCTTCAGAAAATGGAATTGCTTACCTATATACAACTGTCTTGGAAATCAACATTTGTTGCAAGGACTAAGCCATTGCCATCTTATGATGCTGGATTAGGTCCATGATTAAGTCACTGACTCCTGATGAACTAGATTAGATCACTGCTTCAGCATATTTGTCAGGTTCATGACAGAGGAAAAACCTATAAAGTCAGGACATCTTTCACAACTAAGAAAATAACTTCTGCATATAAACATACAGTATTTATTGCTATATTTGGGTATTCTGCTCCCCCATGAATGTTTTTAAGTTATTCCAATATCATCTGTTTACTTGCATTTTAATATTCTAGCACACTGACTGAAATCCAGTAGTAAAAATTAGAGTAGGCCTACTGAATCAATGGAATTTACAGAGGATTTCACTCACCAAATCCCCACTGATTAAATGACCTACTCTAGTTGCAACTATTAGATTTCAGCCACTGTGTCTTCAGTTATATTTGTTTTGTAATCACACTGTGAGTCACCTTGAGTTCTAATCCTGGAACAAATAACAATAATAATTATATGCAGTCAATTGAATTCTGACTTACGGCAACCCTTTTTAGGAACAAAAGCAGGATATAAATATCAGAAACATAAGACTGACAAAAATTATTCTGCCTCCTTATTTTAATGACCAGGCCCAATGCAAAGCTAGACAAGATTTCTTTGTCAGCACTGTCCCACCTAGATATAGCTAAGTGGCACAGTCCAGCACCAGCCAGCCATTAAACATATAATGAATATGGTGCTGGTTACCTGCTAAGACAGCCTGCCCTATTGAAGGCATCTTAAATTGTAAAGAACACATCTGTGGTGTTTAAAGACATACTAAATTAACAACCATTTATACTTTCACAGTTACCAGACTAAGATTCTCCATGTATCTTTCTTATGGTAACCATATTTAATAATAACTGAATAACTGCATGCTATTAACTCAGTTCCAACTTACTGCAACCTTTCTTGGGGGTCTCAATGTATAAAATACTCAGGAAAGGTTTACCAGTCAATTCTTCTGGGGAGTAGCTTGCCCAGGGCCACACAGGCTGATTGTTCTCTTGGGAGGCACAGTGGGGATTCTAACTCAGTGAGCTATCCAAGAAGCTGGCAACCATATATATGCCCTATTTAAAGAGAATGGGTTACTGAAAGCATAAGGTATTGTGTTCCGGTGTCAAACCATGCCATTTTCTCCTAAGTACAGTTCAGGTTTTGACTTGAAGGCAAATCTTTCACCTTGGTATCAGTTCAAAATGCTATCTTAGTATTGGCATTTGTATAGCAGCCCTGAACAACAAAAATATGTAGAGACTAGAGAGCTGCTCTCAGCTAATGCTCTTTGAGGGAGCCACCATTTCAATATGCCTTAAGATAGCAGCTCATGATGAAATAGGCAATGCTCCCTGCTTCCCTTCATTCAATGTGTAGCTCAGTATTCTTCTCTCTGAGCATTTATTTTATCAGTGACAAGGATTGACAGTGACAAGGCCACCTCTCCAACTGTCAACCTTTTCTTGTTGCCTACATTTCAACTTCAACATCCTCAAGGTCAGCCTTTGGGTGACATCATTTGGCAGAGGCACCGTCTGATAAATATACAGTACAACAAATATAGATGGTTAACATACTGTTGCCCTTTTCTTGTCTATGCTAACAGACAAGCAAAGACCTCAAGTGTTTTGCAAGAATTCATAACCCAAAGAAATATTTCTCAAAGAACCACAAATTTTAACAGATATAAGAAAATTATCTTCTATACCCAACAAGCCTGTATATGCCCTCAGATTGATCCTATGCATCTTTATTTCAGAAATATTCATTAATATTTTGTCCACAAAGATCCTGCCCCTCACTGTATTTTTTTGCTGTTTTAATTAATATCTGGCTAAATAAATAACCACAACCAAAAACATATTCATGTTTGGTTGTTGTAGGTTTTTCCAGCTGTTTGGCCGTATTCTGGAGGTTTTTCTTCCTAACGTTTCGCCAGTCTCTGTGGCCGGCATCTTCAGAGGACTGGAGTAGGAACTCTGTGTTCTGGTGTAGTGTTCATGTTTGTTGTTAGTTTTTTAAAAAACTCTGCCAACATTTTATGCTCATCAAGGACTGATTACTGAAGACACTTAATTCCCTTGCAGTGAAAAGTTTGAAAGACAAGCCCAAGTCACCGCTGTTTCTCGCAACCTACAAGTTAACCTTGGCTTGAAGTCGAGGCTTCTTCTCGCCGGCAACTAATAGGGGCAAGTCGAGGCCCTTCAGTCTCCAAGGAGGCCCCATTCACACACGGTATTTCTCGTAAGGAGGCTCTGGCTGCCTTGAGAGACTCGCCCCAGGCTCCCTCTCCCACAGCACCCACCATCTTGGGAGTCCTGGTGGTCGCCACCATTCCGTTGACAGAAACCACCCGCCGAAAACAAGCGAAAAACTAGCCGCGCCTTCGGTCATGAGGGGACAGTAATAGTTAATCATAAAGGTCGCTGGATTTTTAGCCCGACACACCCCACAAATGGATACGGGACCTCCTTGGCGCAGCCATAACGGACGCAGCCAAACCGGCTTCTGCCACTCCCCTTTCCATCCGCTCCAGGCTTCCTACTCGGAGGCTTTTCCTCGCCAACAATCATAAGGCGTGTGTGTGTGTGGGGCAGAGCCAAGTTCCCCACCCGTCCCCGACCGAGGCGCGGCCAGGAGAAGGGAAAGAAACAAAAACAAACAACCCCTCTCTTCCCAGGAGGGCTCCCCACCCGGGGACGGTTTTCCTCCCTCCGTCTCCACCTCCCACCCCTCAAATGGGACCCTTCGAAGAGGGTTACCTTCCTCACAGGCGCCGGGCGGCGAGAAGAAGCTCGAGGCCCACCTCCTTCCTCTCCTCAAACAAGTACAACGTGCTCATGGGCATTCCTGGCCTCTCCGCCGCCACTCTCCGTGGTGACCTACGCCGCGCGCCTGCTGCCCCGCAAGGTTCCTCTGGGAGTTGTAGTCCTTTTCCGCGGGCGGGCCTCTTCCTCATTTCTTACTGGGCCTTGAGGAAGTAGACACGCTCGGCACGTAGGCCCAGAGAGAGAGGGAGACAGAGCGGGACAGCGCCGGCCCGCCCACTTCTCTTGACCTTTTGGAAGACGGTGCCGATGACCCCGGATGCAGAAAGCGGTGTCACTTCACTTCCTGCGAGCGGGACGGTGGAAAACGGAACCGCGGCAGGTGAGCTCAGGGGCTCTCGGGAGGGGAAAGACACCCCCCATCCCGGCCCGGCAAAGGGAGGTAGGCTTCCCTCATGGCAGGGAAACCCGTAGGCCGACGTGCGGGTTTCTCCGCCTCCTAAAGTCTTGGAGGCCTTAAGGGCTTTTGCAAGAGCTGTGAGGGCGTTACAACTAATAAAAATGCTAGTAAGAGCAGTAATGGGTTTTCCTTGTCTTATTCCGGGGTTAAGAGACGTTGAGGCAGGTTCGGGAATAAAAAGGGCATGCCAAGTGGAAGCTGCGACGAGGGGCAAGGGGGTGATAATGGCGGCGGTGGAGGGAGGGAGGGAGGAAGGGGCTTGTATTTCCGTGACAATAAATAGGCGGGAAGCGAATTCGAAGGCCCCCGTTTAGGAGCCGGCTCTTCTTGCATGGTTTGAGGCAGCCTCCAGTCTAAAACACTTAGGCAGGCTCCGCGGTTAAATACGGTGATCCGGATTAAGGGCGCATCGGATTGGTGGATAAATAAGTGATCATCAAACCTCTTCCCGATCGTGAGTTTCGCAGACAAGTATCAAAAGATTTGTAGACAAATCGCAGCGGAGGCGGGAAGTAATGCTGTTGGTAGTCTGCCCTTCAGAAGAGCCTCGTGGGGTATGGAGATGCTGAGCGTCTGTTAAGAGTGGGTGGAATAGAGAAAAGTGGCTGGAGGTGGAATGGGATATTTTGATGAGATGTCCTACAAGACTGCCTTTGCTCCATGGTAATATAAAGTTTGGGTGCTCATGAAAGCTTTTCAGGGGTTTGTTACCCATACTACCATTTTTGTAGAAATGTATGAACTAAGTGTTTAAAATACACATTTATGGAAAGATGGATGAAATGTTAATATTATTTTAAGATTATTATGATTTAGCTTTCTTTATCATTTGTAAATTTAAATCATTTAATTTTTTCCCCAAGCCAGCAAGAATCTCTCTCAGATAGAGGAGTTAGATATGGAGTAGAGGCGACAGTAAGTTCTTCATACACAACTTTCCTTATAGATTTTGGAATGTTTGTTGTGCCAACACAGCTACCACAGCTTTTTGTTCTTAATTCTTGAAGTTTAGTATCAGGTTTAGGTTGAAAATGTTTTGACTTAATGACCTCAAGTAGAGCATGGACAGTGATTAACGATCAAAATAGTATATTAGCAATGTCGAGATTATAACATTATTTGGTGACATTGAACTCTAAGTCTTAGTTCAGTAACAATAACAGTAACAACAAATAATGTATGTTTGCAGCTCTTTGTGTGAGAACAATTCCACAAGCATGACAGAGGTACCAGGGAGTGAAAACAGAAAACGAAAACAGGTTGAAGAAGCTGATAGTGCAACTGCCAAACATTCAAAGGCTGATTCCCCTGCCATTGCAAATGATAAAATCTCAGATAGTAGTCACTATGAGGACAGTCAATCAAGAGATGGGAATGCTATTGATGACAAACCGATAAAGTTGGATGGTGAAACTGAATTGGTGAGTATTTCGGGATTTGATATCTTAAGCAGTTCAGCATAGTGGCTGGAAGTTATGTATGCTTTGTGGAGGATTGTGTACGTTAATACTGTGAAAGGATATTCTGGATAGGTTGACTTCTTACTGGATTCACATTTTTGAGATGCTTCTTCCTTGAATTGTTTGCTGTAGCCATCACTGCACATACATGGTGTTAGTGCTGTGTATGTGTATAATGGACGTATAATGGTATTGTTACTGCCAAAGCCCGTTTCCTATTTTTGGTCTCCAGCAAGGGATCAGACAAGACGGGACCAGCTGAACCCAAAGTCCAGTTTTATTGAATAATCAATACAAAGTCAGATGGGATTTATCTTAAAGGCAGATAAGACCCCAAAATACAGTGCACAGGTGCTTTATAACATAACAAAAGAGTCATAAAGTTCTACAATATCATTGGCTAACATTTTCCTAAATTTTGGATCCTAAACCTAATTGGTACTAATGCAAATGTTACAAAATTATTGGTCCCCTATAGATATAAGATGCCCAAATTCCCCTTTTGACCTTCCAGGGATTCCCTGTAGTTTCTGGAGGAATGCGTATTCCATCTTCCTTTTTTAAAAAAAACATTGTATTAGTTTTTCAATATATCTACATTTGATTTGTGCTTGTTAAACATGGGTTGCTTATAATTATTTGTTTCTGCCTCTTGGTGTCTTTTTAATTGTCCCTTCAGAATCTATACATTTTTTAAGAATTTAAACCAATCATATGTGTATTTTAGTTTACCATATTGGCTAGTATCATAATATTGCTCTCATAGTTTACAGTGTTCTCATAATCCTCTAATAACATACCTAATAAAAGCAATTCTGGTTTCAAATCTATAATGTTTTGAGACAATTTAACCAACCAACTTTGTGTTTTATACCAATAATTTCCTTTATATAATTGTTTATCCATTTCTATGTCCACATCGGGATCAGACAATATATCAATATCATATCTAATACAGTGGTGCCCCGCATAGCGATGATAATCCGTTCCGGATAAATCGTCGCTATCCGGAATCGTCGCTATCCGGAATCGTCGCTATATGGGGCAGAACACCCCATAGGGGTTCCTATGGGGGATAAACTCACCGCTAAGTGGAAATCCTCCATATGGCCGCCATTTTTGCCACCTTGGTAAGCGAGGAAAACACTGTGGGCGGCCATTTTTTCCTTCTGGTGGCCATTTTGGAACCGCCGATCAGCTGTTTTCTAAACATCGCGATGCGATCACTTTTGCGATTGCAAGATCCGCATTGCTATGCGGATTTGTTGTTAAACAGGGTGCTCGTTGTGCGAGGCACCACTGTATATGTTGTTTGTTTTACTTCTTTCTTATATCTACCTTCAACTCAAGTGCTCGTTGTGCAAGGCACCACTGTATATGTTAATTGTTTGTTTTACTTCTTTCTTATATCTAGCTTCAACTCAACTTAAGAACCACCATGTTATGCCTTTACCCTGATTAATGATCCCTTATTTCAGTTTAATTCTCTTTTTAATATATAAAATATGTCCCCTTACAATTCCAGAAGTTAGGTGTCAACGTTGAGGGCCACCTTAATATTTTTTCCTTTACATCTTTTCTAAGTACGGTGGTGCCTCGCTAGACAGTTACCTCGCATGACAGTTTTTTCACTAGACATTGGCTTTTTGCGATCGCTATAGCTATTCGCAAAACAGTGATTCCTATGGGGGAATTTCGCTGGACAATGTTTGGTCTCTGCTTCGCAAACCGATTTTTACTAGACGACGATTTTGACAGCTTCCTCCGTGCTCACAAAACAGGTGTTTTCGGGACCTAAGCTTCACAAGACAGCGATTTAAACAACTGATTGGCGGTTTGCAAAGCCACTTTCCTATGGCCGATCTTCACTAGACGACGATTCTTCCCCATTGGAACGCATTAAACAGGTTTCAATGCATTCCAATGGGGAAATGCTTTTTGCTAGACAATGATTTCGCTAAACAGCGATTTCAGTGGAACGGATTATCATCCTCTAGCAAGGCAGGACTGTAACTCCTCTGTCTTTTCTCAATTCTTATTTCTATCTCTAAAAATTCTGTCATCCCTTTTATCGTTTGAGATCATTTTGTGCACTTGATCGATCTCCAATTGATCTTTCAGGCTATTTTGAATTAATTCCGCTGATTCTCTCCCCTTAGCACACCTAAGATTCTCCTCGGCTCCAGGATTAGAATTAAATCTCCTAAATTTTCTCCTCTGATTTCCTCCAGCCCTTCCTTTGGTTGGCATTCATCATCCACCATCTTCACATTTCCTTGTTCATTTTTCTCTGGCCCTTGTTGGAGATAGTCCTTCTTTAGTTGCTTCTTGAATAATTTTGCCTCTTCGTTGTGGAATCTCAATATTTCTAAAATTGCTTGAAGGGTAGATTTTGTTTCATCCCAAAGTTTTCTTTGTTGTAGCATTATGTCCTTGGATGTCAAATACCTGTATTCCAAGTGAAAAATGTCCAGTAGCTTAAAGCAGTCAGTCCAGTTCCATCAATAATTGCTTCAATAAGTCCACTTTAATAAATTGGTTAATTTTGAATCCAGTCGCAGATGTAAGTTGAGAGCTCAGTTCACTCAATGTTTGTATTCATGGCCTGATATTTGTTGTAATCCAGCCCTGAGAACTCTCCATTCCAGTATTGCTTCTATCCCGGCCTGTGTTCCAGTCAGGTTCAGAACCCAGGATACATCCAAATGTTTTTATTGTTCCACATAGGTCCACATTAGTCAGATATATATTCCAAGATGAATTGTCTTTGTCAGACTTTCCAGGGTTAATTTGTCTATATTTTAGTCAGTTCTCAGGAAAAAAAAGGAAAGTCAAAACAGATTCCAAGTTTGAATATTCAAGGCCTTAGTTCTGGGCTTTTTGCCAGTGCTGTAGATAGCTGTATATAGCCATAACATAAACAGTTTAACTCCCAGTGTTGTTTGGCTAATAATAATTTTAAGAGGAAAATTTCTTAAGTTTCTAACACCAAAGTAATACCAAACTTTCTTCCTTGAAGTATAATTAAGTGTTTAATTAGTGTCCAGTATTTCCTTTGTGACTCTTCCCCCTCTCCAGATCCACCTCTGCTCTTTAAGTGGTGGGGATAAGATATGCTTATTTCTGTTAAAAGGATTATTTCATCCCGGGACAGTCATAGAGCAGTATCTTTATAATTTTGTATCTCACCCAGTGGTAAAGATGATGTTAATTAGTTAATTTATCGCTTCTCTGTTACCGGCTGCCGACGACTAGCAAGCAAGCTGTTCAGCTTCTCATTTCCACCTGCTAGTTGATTGAAGAGTTTTCCTGGATCAAATCAGGGGTAACTGCCATTCCCTTTGCCCCGTGATCAGCAGGTTTCTCCCCCAGTTCGCCAACTCTTTGGGGTGGTTTTAATCCCCTGGGGGGGTACCAGACAGGTCGGAATTCAGCTCAGGAGATGGAGCTCCGTATTCCTGCCGCCGTCTCGTTGCAGCATCAAGCCGGAAGCCACGTATTCCATCTTTCTGATCTATTGATATACAGTGGTGCCTCGCTTAACGAGCGCACCGCACAACGACGAAATCACATAGCGATCCCTTTTTTGGGATCGCTAATGCGATCGCTCAACGACTTTTAGATAGGCTGAAAATCGCTTTGCGAAGATCGGTAAGCGTTTCGCTTACCGATCTTCGCAAAACGAAGCCCCGACAACCAGCTGTTCGGAGGCCAAAATGGCCGCCAGAAGCCCCGAAATGGCCCAAAATGGCCGCCGGAAGCCCCAAAATGGCCGCGCGCAGTGTTTTCGCGCCCTTGTTAAGCGAGGGGAGGGCACGAAAATGGCTGCCGGCCATCCCGGAACATCGCTGAATGGTGAGTAAAGGAGCTGATTGGAACGCATTAAACACTGTTTAATGTGTTCCAATGGCTTTTCCTGCCCCGTTCAGCGATGTTTCGCTATAGCGAAGATTAATCCGTTCCGGATTAACCTCGCTATGCGAGGCACCACTGTATTTGTTTCCTTCCTGCACCTAAATATATGGCCTTCAGTCTCTAGCTCCCTGCTGGTTTTATGTTTCGACTATCTTCACTTGTGTTCTTGCCGTTTGTTAGTTCAAATGTAAATGGATGGAAGGTGAAAAACAGAAAAGCCATCAAATGCTAGAGGTTACATTCTTTGGTAAAAACAAATTCATTCTTATTCTAAAATTATGATTTATGCCAGGTATCAGTATGTTTACAGACTTTTTGATGTGGTTTAATGCTTTTGTTTTAAGACTGTCAGATATTTACTTGTAAATTAAAAATTTGACATAAGGATTCTGCATTTGACCAGTGGAAAAATTGTTTTTAATTATATTGTTATATTTTGTTGTAAGCCGCCTAGAGTGGTCTTAATTGACTAGATAGGCGGGATATAAAATAAATAAATAAATAAATGTAATATTTTATTATGATTCCTAATAAATGTGCGAAGCAAACTGAAAGATGCTGGACAAATCAAGCTTCTTTACTGAGCCAGTGAATTTGTATTGTTTACATTCTCATCTCATACTCTTTCCAGGTTGTTGCAACCGGTACTGGGTTTGCAGAGGATGGAAAGAACTTGGTTAGTGAAGCTAATAGAGCAGTTTTCACAGCTGCTGAGATAAAGCCTGTTGGTACTGAGAATGATAATAAAAGACATAAGGAACCTTGTAACACAGCTGAACAAAGTGGAGTGGCTGTTGCTCCTGAGAATAAAAGAGGAGAAAAGAGAACACGTGAATCTGATTCTGAAAAGAAAACAGTGAGTGTTTCAATAGTAGTCTCATTTTGATTATTGAGTTATGACAAGGTAGGGACATTCTTCCTATAGTGCATTAAGTGACCACAGGAGCATCTTATTATGTCTCACAATCTTCCTCTCCTAAAATGACTTGTTTGTAATCATATGGATTATGTGTGCCATATGAAGTTACTTACAAGTTTTAGAAATTATATGATGTGGTGAGAGATAGTGGCAGCATTTGTACATAATGCTGAAACATAACTGAAGCATTACATACCTAAGTGAAAGGAAGCCTACACGTTCCTCTGCCTTCTCACAGGAACATAATGGAGAATAAATCAGAATTCAATTTCAATTTTGTCATTGCTTGTTTTTATTATATACAAACCAGAAATTGTGGTTTATATGAACTGATTCTCCTGTATGGAGAATTAGTGCAGGGAAATTGCCCCAGAGGGAGACCACAGCTGCGATACAAGGATATCTGCAAACAGGATCTGAAGGTCTTAGTAATGGACCTCAACAGATGGGAAACCTTGACATCTGAGCGTTCAGTCTAGAATCAGGCGCTGCATCACGGCCTCTCCCACGGAGACCCTTATCAAGCAGCAAAATCAGGGAGCTGGGCAGGGGACAGATTGTATTTGTCTTCAGTGTGGAAGGGATTGTCACTTTCGAATGGGCCTTCTCAGCCACACTAGATGCTGTTCCAAGTCCTTCATACATAGCACGTTACCATAGTCTCTTGAGACTGAAGGATGCCTAATCTAAGATTTGTTAAACAAGCAGGCAAAAAACCCTACACTTTTGTGCAGGCTACTATCTGCTCATTCTTATAGTACTAAATGTGGTAACATTCCTACATATTTATGTCTCAGCACTGTGTAATTAGAAATTTCTGTATCTCAGATCTTTCTGCAAACCACCACATGTTATTTTGCAATTTCTGCTCTTGCTGCTGTTGTTGGAGTGTTCAGGATAAATCAGGAAAAGGCCACATGGATGTGGAAACAATGTAAATACAGGAAGAGGCGATATTTTTAATTAACCATTAAGAGTATAAAACAAAAAGTAGTGTTGTCGTGTTTATTTGGCTCATCTTTATCATGTTTTTAGCCAAATGTAAACCACCCAGAGTAGGGTGTTGCACTAATGGGGCAGTATACAAATTTAATAAATAAATGTCATTTGAAGTTCATGTTTTTTCATGCTATTGATAGATTATTTTCTTTGCAAATACAACTACTTTTAAAGAGATTGTAAATGAACAGCCTTTGATTTGAGTGTAGAATGGTGAAGTAATCTGTGCAAGTGTACATCCGGAGGTGCTGTATGCCAAAAGTTTAGCTTGCATCTCCCATCAGCTCTAGCTAGATTAGTCAGTAGGGATGAGCAATTCAGATATTCTGGAATTATCCAAGAATTCCACAGGCCGAATTCTGTGAGCTCTAGCCCACAGATCCACACAGATAGCTATGTTTTGACCACCTGTAATGTGGCGTATCTTAGAGGCTCCATGGCTGCTTTGGTCCCCCTTCCTGTTGTTAATGTACAAAAAAAGAAACTGTTGCCGTGCTTCCTGGGAGTTCTAGCTTCACTGCCCTTTATCTCCCGAAGAATTACAGCTCCCAGAAAGCACTGCAGCTGTTTTCTGTACATTAACAAATAGGAAGAAGGCTTGAAACTCTCATGGAGCCTCTTGAGATATATATATATGTGTGTGTCCACAGGTGTGGGTCTGTGGGATACAACTCCCAGAACTGAAATAAAAAAATATATGAATGACACATCCTTAATAACCAGTGGTGGGATCATGGAAGTTGCAGTCCAGAAGCATCTAGAGGACCATAGTTGCTCACCCTGTTGTTTACTTTAAGTACCAACTTAGAATATATAACAGTACAGTGGTGCCTCAACTTACGAACTTAATTGGTTCCGGAACTCCGGTAGTAACTTGAAATAGTCGTAAGTCGAAGCACCATTTCCCATAGGAATGCATTGAAATGCAATTAATTCTTTTCCAAAGGGAAAAACATACACCAAACACACACACACACACACACACACAAAACCCACTGCAAGACCCATTGGAAATGCTATTAATCTGTTCTGGCAGAAGGGGGGGGGAAGGAAAGCAAACAAACCATGCAAGACCCTTCGCAAATGCAAAAAAAGCAAAGCAGAGCGCAAACTCCACAAGACCCGTTGAAAATGCAAAAAAAGGAAAGCAGAAAGCAAGCAAACTATGCAAGACCCTTTGGAAATACAAAAAAAAAAGCAAAGCGGAAAGCAAACAAACCCCACAAGACCCATTGGAAATGGGCGAACCCCCCAAAAAAGCAGAAATGAGAGGGGATTCCCCAAAAAGCAAACAAATCCTGCAAGACCCATCACAACATAGAAACATAATCCCACCACGCAGCCCAAAAGCACATTGCAACCCCCCCCCCCAGAACAGTTTTTAAAAAGCAGAAAGCACCACTTTACCTTAGCAGGCAGTCCGAAGCCTCCTCTGATCGCACACTCTCTAACCGCTGGGGCGAAAGAGCTATAAAGAAGCAGCCTCTTCATCACCAACAGTTGGCAATTTGAATTTCCTGCCTCTTTCCTGCCCATGGCTGCGAGTCGAAGCAAAATTTGGCGAACGGAGCTGGTTGTAACTCAAAATGGTCGAATGTTGGGACATTCATAAGTCGAGGCACCACTGTATATATTTTGAATTTGATCTTTCATTTGCTGTTTTGTTAGCATACAGAAGCTGTAGCAGCACACTACAATAAGCTTGAAGAAGTTGGATTGCAGCAGCGTAGCACAAGTCGCATTTTCTATCTCCGAAATTTTAACAACTGGATAAAGAGTGTGCTCATTGGTATGATTTCTTTTTTCAAAAACCTGTTAAGATGTAGTCATAGAGTCAAATATTTACATTGGAAGAAAATTAAGCTTTGGTTCTGGTGCAGCTGGCTAGGCTGGATGAGGTTTCTGACTTGATGCCAGAAACATAATATAAATCTCGATTTTGAAAACCCAATAAATAACTGCAGCTTAGTTTTGTACAGCATTTCTTAGCACTATGTAATTATCGTTGCAGTGTGATGTTCAGTCAGAAACCTTGCATATCTATCAGGATCTTTTGTCTGTCTAGCATCGTGCTGAAATGTGTATTTATTGGAGAATACCATGTGTGTAGAAGTAATCACATATGTGACACTCACATTTTGCTGCCCATTTCTCAGGCGTCCAGGCATGTGACTGAGTATACAAACCATTGGTGGGACCTTGGTGTGTCGGTGTGGCATGCATGTAAATGATTTATGTGATTCTCAATATCCTGCATGATATTAACAGGATTCTGGCAAATGATTTTTTAAAAATCAATCTTGGCCTGGATCCTTTAGAACAGTGGTCCCCATCCTTTTTTAAACAGCAGGCCCCTGGGGGGGGGGGAGCATTTTGTTACCTGCTTTCTTAGTTGCAGTGGTGTTCACACCTACCTGAGTTAGTTTCGTGTAGTTCTGAAGAGACAACATAAGCGTGCACTATTAATGTCTTTTCTATTCTTAACATAGCTCAAGTAAGTGAATTTAACTTAATTTTGAAATGGGCTATATTTTGATATTTAAATTATTTGCAATACTTAGTTATTCTGTTAAGCACATAGAATTGCCAAGGAATATAGAATTGCCAAGGAACTATATAATGGAAGGAACATTTTTCCTCTTAAAATTGTGTATTTCTTTTCTAGGTGAATTTCTTGACAAGGTACGACAGAGAAAGCAAAATATTACAGTTCTTGACCTGGGATGTGGCAAAGGTGGGGACTTACTGAAATGGAAAAAAGGCAGAATCAGTAAGCTTGTGTGTACAGGTAAGAAAGAAGATTCATTATCTAGTATCCGGTTCAGTATTTATACACATAGACCTCTAACTTAAAAAATGGGCACAGTTGGGCAACAGGACTGTGTGATTAGCCATGTGACCTCCCCCTTATCGGATTACTTTCCTAGCTTCCAAAGTTGCAGCTCCATACATGTAAATAATACTGAGTAGCATATTGGCCATTTTACATGAGGGAAAAACACAGTGTTTCTGGAATATAGATTCCTTTTGTATTTTCTATAATTATTTAGAATGATGGAAAATATTTTTCAATTTGCACAGTATTAAATTTTCACAGCAAAATAAGAAAAAAATTCAAAGTCTTACAATCTTATATAATCTGCCTCGAAACGCTTTTTAGTAAAACTTCAGTTAAACACTTTTAAATTAGGATTTCAAGGCTAGGACAAGTTATTCAGCCCATAATTATTGTCATTGGTATGTTGACACATACATCTTTTATGTTCTGCTTTTGTTGATAAAAATGTAGATGCTTGGCAACAACTAAAACATACTGCAAATGTTATGTTGATTGATGAGACTAGAAACAGTACTACATCGGTTGTTTAGGTATCTAGCTCAGAGGTTGGGAGTTCAATTCCCCACTGTGCCTCTCAGTAGAAGAGCCAGCCTGTGTGGCCTTGGGCAAACTGCGCAATCCCAGGGTGTCCCCAGAAGAAGGGAATACCAAACCACTTTTGAGTATTCTCTACGTAAACTCCCCCAAAAAAGGATTGCCATAAGTCGGAATTGAGATGGTGGCACATGATTATTATTTTATAAAGAATAAAAACAATTATGGAACTTAGGACGACATAGAAGGGTAAAGCTTCAGGTAGTCCCATGTTGAATGAAGGAGAAAGTAAATACCAAGGTCAATAAGCAACAATTAAATGAAAATCAACTGCCAGTGAGCTAATGTAGGCAACCTCCTTTGTGAGTATGTTTGTGTACCATACGCAAACTGCATGGACTACCATATAGCTGGGAATTCAGCAGGTCCATACAAAGAACAGAGCCTCTCAGTTTTATTATTTTATTATTTCACTCAAGGTCATTTGACTTCATAGCTGGTCACCTTTCAGTTAGCAGTTAAGGTATCTATTTCAGTGCCAGAAAACCCAAGGCAAGGACAAAGTGAAGAAACTTTGTACAGTGGTGCCTTGACTTAAGAACTTAATCCATATTGGAACGGTGGCTGTAAGTCAAAACGTTCTTAAATAAAAGCAGCATTTCCCATAGGATTGCATTGAAAACCGTTCTGGCTGTTTTTTGTCCTTATGTCAAGGCATGGTTCTTAAGTCAAAGCATTAGTTCCCATAGGGACTAATGCAAAGCTGGTTAATCCGTACTACTTGGGGGAGAATTTTTTTATTTTTTTCTTCTTTTGACCTAAGATGAACTTAGGTCAAAAAAAGGGCAGGGGGAGGGAACACCTTCTAAACACATCTTTAAAAACAAGCACGTTTTAAAGAAAGCCAAGTCAAGCCAAGCACTTTTTCAAACAGAACACCTTTAAAACCAAAACAAGCACCTTTCAGGTTTAAAAAAGGGAGGGAGGGAACACCTTTCAAACAACAGAACACCTTTCAAACAACAGAACACCTTGAAAGGCAGCTTTTCAGCCAAACCTAGCGCCTTTTAGGTAAAAAAAGGGCAGAAAAGGAGTGAGTGAGTGAACAATGGGAAAAAAGAGGAAAGAAAGAAGGTAATCACTGGGGCACATAGACCCCTCAGATAAAGGTTTGTGCTTTTAAGCACAAAAAGAGAGAAGACAGAGAGAAGACAGTGTGTGTGTGGGGGGGAGAGATTGGAGGCTAAAACACATTTTTAACCAGCACATTTTAACAACGTTTAAAAACCAAACAACTTTTAAATAAAACACATTTTAACATGTAACAAGCAACTTTTAAACCCACCCCAACACCTTTTAAAATAAAAGAGAGGTCACTTAGCTTTTGGTGTCTGGAGGACATCACAGTGACTTCTGGCTGGAGGATGGTGAGATGGTCATCGCTGCAATGTATAGGTGCCGCCCTCTGGGTCATCTTCTCCAAGGGTTCCCTGTCGCTGTCTCTTCACTGCAGGCTCCATCTGGGTGAAAAAATCTGTCCAATGTTGTCTGTTTTGTCCTGCACTGCAAAATCTTTCTGAAGTGGCTGACCACGTTGTCATTCATCATGTCCAAAACTCTTCCTGTCACAGTCCTGTTTGGGTGGTGCCTATCAAATAACTCCTGGCACTTGGTCCAGCTCTTGCAGATGGATCTTATCTCTTCGGTGCCTCTTCCTCTTCATCAGTGGAAAGCTTCTCCACAATAGCCTTCTGCTGCTCAGTTTGCAGTTCTGCAAGTTCTTCTAGTCAACTTGTCTTCATGATCTTCAACCAGCTCCTCTACTTTGTCCTCGTTGACATCCAGAGCCATGCCTTCACCCGTGGAGACAATGTCCCTCACTACCTGTGAATCGGTCCCCTCAGTGCCACAGTTTGTGACACATTCTGGCCACAGTTTCTTCCAGGCTGAGTTCAAGGTCCTAGTTGTGACATCCTGCCGGGCCTTGTCGATGAGTCCTAAGCTGTGGAGGACATTGAAATGCATCCTCCAGAACTCTTTCAGGGTCAAGGATATTTCCTCGATGATATTGAAGCACCTGGTGAAGAGTGCCTTTGTGTACAGCTTCTTGGAAGTTGCTGATCACTTGCTGGTCCATGGGCTGCAGAAGAGGTGTTGTGTTGGGGGGGGGAGAAACTTGACCCTGATGAAATCCTCATCTACCAAGGATGGGAGGTGTGCCGGGGCATTGTCCATCAGCAAAATGCACCTCTCAGGAAGCTGGTTGTCCGAAAGATATTTCTTCACAGTGGGTGCAATGACTTCATAGAGCCATTCCGTAAACAGCTGCGTTGTTATCCAAGCTCATCAGTTGACCTTCCACATGATAGGCAGTGTGGCCTTGTTAACTTTCTCTCGCTGGAATGGGCGAGGAGTCTGGGAGTGGTACACCAGCAGAGGCTTGATCTCCAGATCACCGGTGGTGTTGGCACAGAACAGAAGGGTCAATCTGTCCATGCGTTTGTGGCCTGGCATTTTCTCTTCCTTCTGAGTGATGTAGGTTCTCCTGGGCATCTTCATCCATAACAACCCTGTATCGTCGCAGTTGAAGACTTGCTGGGGGAGATAATCTTCTTCCTTGATGAATTTGGCAAAGTCCAGCTTGAAGGCTTCTGCAGCATCATGGTCAGAACTTGCAGCGTCCCCATGTCTTACAATGCTGTAGATGCCACTTCTCTTTTGGAAATATTGAAACCACCCCTTGCTGGCTTTGAATTCTTCTTGCGCTGCACTTCCAGAGGGGTTCTTTTCCATTAAATCATGGTGCAGCTTCTTCGCTTTTTCACAAATTATGGCTTCACTGATGCTTTCCCCTTTTAGCTCTTTCTCGTTCATCCACACCAGTAAAAGTTTTTCCACATCTTCCATCGGGGTAGCCTGTTCTTTTTTAGGATTGTGACTCCTTTTGTCACATCAGTGCCTTTCAAGACATCTTTCTTCTTTAATATGGTGCCAATGGGTGACTTTGGCATCTTGTATTCCACAGCCAGTTCCATCACACACATGCCCTGTTCATGTTTTTTGATTTCCTTTTTCGTTTCAGTGGAGATGATTTTTTTTGCCTTTGCTCTGTTCTTTCTTTGGAGCCAAGACTATGGTTCAGCACACCACAGTACACAAACCCTAAAAGGCACAAAATCCAGCAACCATTATTCCAGCACAGACCCCCTCATCACAAAAAGAGAGCATGGGGGGGTACAGACCTGAGTCTAAGCTGCATTTTAAAGCCTGCTTGCACCAACAACCAGTAAGCATTCTTCCAGCACAGAACTCCTCATCACAAAAAGAAAGCATAGAGAGACCGGGCGGGGGGGTAGAGACTTTAGTCTAAGCTGCATTTTAGACGCAAAGCAGCCCAATAAACCTTTAGAACACCATTTCCAATTTTAAATGCAGACGGGTAAAATGCATCAGCCAGCACAGACCCTTGCAAAAAATCCCCCCCCAAGCTGCAAAAACCCTGTATGTACAGTAAGTATGTAAAACACTGCAAGTCCCACACTGGACTGCCCAAAAACAAAAACCAAAAACCAAAAAAGGAGCAAGTCCCACATGGGACTGCAAAAAAACCCACCAAAAAACAAAACAACACAACACAGAAACGTAACCCCCCAAGCCCGAACTTACCTTCCAAAACCCACCCAGAACAACTTTTTTAAAAGCAAAAAGTAGCACCTTACCAGTCTAAAGCCTCTGCGGAGGCTTCCTGAGCTTCCAAAGCACTGGCATCCTTCCTCCTGTGCTGCCACGGAGCCCCTCCGAGTCGCGCCTTCGGCGGCGCTTACTCATGAGTAGACCCGCGCCTCTCCTTCCTCCTCCTGCGCCCAGGAGTAAAAAAGTTCCCTAACCACCTGCTCTAACTATTGGGGCAAAAGAGCTACAAAGAAGCAGCCCCTTTCCCCCGCTTTTTTTCCATTCGTAAGTCAAAGCTCTGTTTGTAACTCAAAGCAATATTTCGCGTCTGGAGCTATTTGTAACTCAAAATGTTCGTACGTCAGGGCGTTCATAAGTCGAGGCACCACTATCTAAAACACAACTGAAATGCTCCTCTTCTAGGATCGAACCTTTTCCTCTGTTAGCCACCTTGAGTGCAATATTTTGGATATCTATCTATTCTAAAGCCCTTCCCACATGATCATCCTTAAAGAATCACAGTTAGAGCTGAATCCAAACTTCAAATATATATTTTTAGAAAACTGGCTTGTTCTTGTCCACAGTCACATTTAAATAAAAGGCAGGTTTCTGGAATGTTCTTTATCATTGTGGGTTTGTGGCTGCCTCCCTTATGACCCAGATAGCGCTACCTGTGTTTATTGTGGAGGATGCGGTGTGGTGGCTCGGCTTCCACCACAATTGTTATTGCTGCCTCTTGCAGTGGTAAAGCAAGGGTAACCCCATATGTAAGAAGTGGTTGGAATATTTATTTTGCCATGGAGAGATTCAGTGGAAAGGCTTTCCTAATTGCGCTGCCCAAATATTAAGTGAAGAATAAAATTTGAGAGCCCCATTTGTCCACAGGTGTCCTCAGAGTCATGTGCTTCTTAGCAACTTTGCTTCTTCCCAGTGCTGAAGTAGACACCCCAGAGACATCTGAATGCGATGGAGATTATAGGTAGGACCCGTCTCCCATACATATTGGAAAGGTTCAAGTCAATTTAGAAGTGTCAGCTTTTTTCAGATACGAGAGCAAAGAGCACTGCTCCGTTTAGCAGCACCCACCAGTGCTACCTCTAAACTTACGCATTTTGGAAAGCTTTGATGTGACAGGCATGGAGATAAAGAGGCATAGCTAAAGATGACAGATTGCCAAATTGCTAAGCAAGGATCACTTTTGTATTGTTTTATGTGCAGTATACCTGACAGTGGAGAGTATTTTAATTAGCTGTACATAGGAGTTTGCTAAAATAATTTATTTTACTGTATGTTTTTTAAAAAAATAGATATTGCTGATATTTCTGTGCGACAGTGTGAGCAACGATACCAAGATATGAAAAATCGGGGTCGTCAGTATGAGAGAATTTTTAGTGCAGAATTTATAACAGCTGACAGCACCAAGGTATGGTCATTACATGCTAGTTTTGTATTCGCAGTGATTTATTTTGCTATAATCAGTGTAAAGTGTTGAAAGTACATTGAATGCGGGTGAAGGAAAACATTGCAGAATACATAAATGCAAATGACACATTGCATTTTTCTACCTTACAGTAGTTATATATAATTACACATTTCATAGTAAATGTTGTTATGTAATTAAAGGAGGAAGAAACCATAATTTTGAAGTACATTTCAATATGACTTGTTTTAATGAAACAAGCTTTTTGTGAAAGGCTTCTACCATAAAAATGCTTCTACCTCCAAATCTGTCATGAGTGTGTGAGAAGAGAGTGATGGTCATTTTATCTGAAATAGGTTAAGTGTTCTGTATACATAATAGTTAACATCACTATGTAGATTATTTCCTGAAAATAGTTATTGCTAAAATGTGTATGTTACTCTAGAGAATCTTGGTTGTCAATGCATAACAATAAATAATTAAAGCAGTGGCACAATAAGGGATTTTGGGACTTAGGTTTTCAGTTTGTAACTTGAGAAATTAACCAACATTTTTTTTTACTTTTTTAAAAATTATGGTCAGTATGTGAGATTAATGTCAGACATGCTTTTAATTCTTACATTTATTTCAGGAGCGCCTGTCTAATAAGTACAGTGATCGAAACACATGCTTTGACATCTGCAGCTGTCAATTTGTGTACCATTATTCATTTGAGACATATGAGCAAGCTGATATGATGCTCAAAAATGCTTGTGAACGACTTTGTCCTGGAGGATATTTCATTGGAACAACTCCGGATAGCTATGAGCTTGTGTGAGTATGTATGAATATATTGTAAGGAAAACATGGGGAAAGAGACCCTGAGTTACTTCTTGTAGATCTTTTACAATTCAGCAGTATGTAAAAAATTTGAGATTTTTGGGTACTATTTGAAAGATCTAACCTTGTGGTGTTCATAACAATGTCCAGTAACAAACTGTTCACACTATTCAATTGCAAGGGGTCCCTTCCCTATGTCCAGCTTGATACTTGATTTTTTTCTCTATTGGAAATAAACATTTAAGACATTATCTAGAATAATGTCTTAAATGTTTAGTAGATATGGTCTAGAGGGGCGGGGTAAAAATCCAATAAATAAATAAATAAATATAGCTCAGAACATTCAAGGATACTTGCATTAAGTATCCTTGAAATAAGATTAAGGCTAAGTAGTCTCACAGTTATTTTGGCCAAAAAAGTAATTATTTTATTCTTAAGCATGACAGTTAACTCAAGCCCTCATTTTACTCTTGTGTGACAGTGTGGGATATTTTAGTCTTCCAATCACATTTTTTGCAAAGCTCAAACAGAACTAAAGTTATAGCAGTGGCTTTTTATGGCGTTGTCACCTGTAATGATTCCTCAAATTTCAGTCCTTTATAGTGGATGGATCTTTTTTATTAATTAAAAATGAATAAAAATGTCCTGACAAATATTTTGCTTTCTGCCACTTTGGTGTGGTTTGAATCCAGCTAGTTTAACATAATTGGGACAAAAATGACTCGTGCCTTTTTCTGGCAAACTGTGATGCAGCAAAGCAGCAGCGGCATACTCTGATTGTCGTTAGGTTGCCCCAGCTTGGGAAGACAGGACATTAGAAATTTCATTTCTGTTAGGAAATAAAAGAAGTGCCATGAGCCTAACTACAGGGTTAACCCAAATTTCAGTATATTGAAATTCTTTGTTTTGTTATGTGCCGTCAAATCAGAACTGACTTATAGCAACCTTAATAGGATTTTCAAGGTAAGTGAGGTATTTAAGGAGTGGTTTTACCGTTTGCACTCACCCAATGAGTTTCCATTGTAGGGATTTGAACCAGGTCTTCTGAGTCCTAGACTGTTAATCTGTTCACTACATCACACTATGTACTTGAAATTCTCTTGAGGGATCAGAAAATATAACTCACAATGCCAGTTCTTTTACTCTAGTGAATAAGGACTAAGTAACTCTCCAGCTCTTAAATTTAATGTTTACATGCCTTCAGAGCTTCCAACTCTTAAAGATGCTGCAGTGAGCTGACAAGTTGTTGGTTGGGTACAACCAAGCAGTTAGTTGGCACCTTGTGAGATGAACACAGTGCCTTCTGCAGTTAGAGTTCCATTTAGGTAAGTATTCAGTAGGACACTGGGCATGTTTTAGGAAAAAGTTTCTGTTCACCAGTATATGGGGTGGAAAATTTTCTAGTGCTCGGTTCCCTCACCATCACCATAGAACTTTTCTTTTCTAAAAAAAAACTTGTCTAATGAAATCATTAATTCTATATGCCCATATAATATTAGTAAGACTAAGCAGTTTCACAGTTATTTTGGCCAAAAAAGTAATTGTTTTATTCTTAAGCAAGACATATATCAGAATCCAAAGTAATTGTAATCTAGATGTTATGAAATGAATGTTTTTCAGTTAGTTATCACCAGGAAAGGTCTGTAAGAGTACATATGTTTAATTGGTCGGTAAGCAAGGTGGTATAATAAATCACACATACATAATAGTAATCCAAACCAATACAAATTTTCAATTCATTTTTAGACTCTGCAAGTCTAATTAAAACTAAAAGTGATTAATGGTTATTGCTCTTTCGGCAAACACAACATCTTCTTTTCTTCAGCTTCAGGAGTTTTTATATCCATAACAACCCTTTAAGACTCTAGCTGTTTAGCCACACTGACTCTCTAGTAAGATTCTGGTAGGTGCATTTTTAAGATTCACAGCAGTGTGTTTTTAAGATTCACAATATGAGTAGAGTGCAGTAATACTCCTGCAGGAGGTAAAGATAAAGAGAGAAGCTGATACAGTGGGGTCTTGACTTAAGAACGGCTTGAGTTAAGAACATTTTGACTTAAGAACCACTCTCAGGAAAATATTGGATTAAGTTCTCAAGTCAAGACCCCACTGTACATGGTTGCACAGAGCCCCATGGCCAAGAGAGATTTAACCCTGGTTTCCCCTAATTCAGGTCTGATGCATTGTATTAGATGTCTTTTGGTTCAAATATTTGAAGGCTTCAAAATTTTTGTTTAATAAAACAAATTAATCACATTTGTTAAATCAAGTTGAACTCTGTTTAGACCACTTGTAAATTTCCCAGTTTTAAAATGCCTAGAAAACTCACATCACTGTTGCTCACAAAAAGGCCTGATTCTGTTGTTCTGGCCAGTGAATATAAAGACAATGATATAATTGATATCTTGTAGGCACTGTGCTTGCATACTCTCCCACTCTCCTATACCACACAGTTGATATATAACTCTTAAACTTCTTAAAGTTGGATTAATTGCAGGTATGGTGCAGGACCTTTCTGTATGACAGGGTTGAACGATTGTTCTAGCCAAACTTTAAGAGTAGGGGTCTGAAGGGTAGCGTGGATCCTTTGGGTTTGCCCTACCTATTGGGATGTGATAACTGCACAGCTTCAGGAGTACAGTAACTGTTCACATTTCATTAAGTAAAACTTATAGGACTTAGTTATTAGAGTGGTTAATCCTTTTTTCCTTTAAATCATAATTTTCCTGTGATAATATTAAAAAAAGATCTTTGGTGAAATTGCATGAAAAAGTGCATTACTGACAGCATTCTGATAAAATTTTAATTTTGTTTTTCCCAGTTTTTTGTGATAGTAATGATCATATTATTCTTCAGTACTTGAATAACCTTGATTCTGTGGATTTAAATTTTTTTGGTGCTGTCATTTTTATGTGTTACCATAGAAAACGTCTAGAAGCTTCACAAACAGACTCATTTGGGAATGAAATCTACACAGTAACATTTCAGAAGAAGGGAGAGTATAGCTTGTTTGGCTGCAAATATGATTTTAACTTGGAAGGAGTGGTTAATGTTCCAGAGTTCCTGGTCTATTTTCCTTTGCTTGTTGAGTAAGTTCTTATTTCTGACCTTTTTTAAAAAAAAGAGAAACAGTTGCTAGAGATCTCCTTTGTTGTCCTTTTCAGTCCATGAGACTGGTATAAGTTTGATTTTGATGTCCTCAAGTGTATGGTCTATAACTTTCCTTCATGTCTCTCTTCTGGCTCCTCTCCTTTTTAAAGCTTTCTTTCTGTTGGAGCATACTGAACTCCTGCTTGGATCTGGCTTCTGATTTTTTTTCTCCCCTAGCTTTGTTATTCTGAAAACTAAATCCCATATGATAGTCTGAAAACATTACTTATTTCATGGAAGAGTACTTAATTGCTAGATACATCTAATAATATTATCTTATAGTGCCTGACTCTCTTATCGGCACTTTGAAAATGTGGCTCTGTTTTGTAGTCAAGAGATACTGGACCGCAGCTTTTTGTCAGCTCTAGGCCATCTGCCCAGTGATGAGATAAGATGGGATTTGCAGTCCAGCATCACCTAAAGAATTGTACATTCTCCATCCTTGTTCTATTCTCACAGCCCTTTTGAGAGAATAGAAAATGACTGAGGCACAAAATGACAGTACAGCGATTGGATCAGTCATGCAATGGCAGCAGATGAAGGTGGAATTGTCAAATATACAACTTTACATTTTTGTCCCATACAGAATCTGCTAAGTTCTTTGTCGCAATGATTTCTTTGTATTTATTTATTTTATTTGTACCCCGCCCATCTGGTCCTACGACCACTCTAGGCGGCTTCCATACGCCATAACAGCAAATAAAAAATAACACAAGAATTATTACATAAAATATATTCCAACTGTTGCAGGGAGTTCTGTTGTTCTGTTTTTCTTAAGTTTAGTACAGTTATTCAGTCTGGCAGAATTATGACTTACCCTCCCTATTTTATTCTGAATCAGCTGATCCTGAGGGTCATTGGTGGACTTAGTTTTATATTGTCCTGTTGCCACACATACGTAGCCCTCTCTTATTCTTTTCATAATCATCTGTAATTTCTTTCCTTTCCACATATCTCTTGTCATCCATTTCTCTGTGCCTCAACACTGTCTATGTCTTTTATCATCACTTATTCTGAATATTGCTCGTTAGGAAATTGCTGGTGTAGCATATATATGGAGCAGCAGATAAATGTGCTGTAAATTTGAAAAGGGGTTCACATACAAATTAGATGTGAAGTTATATATAGAAGCATAGTTGCAATTTTGTTGCAAACCATAAGGTGCCACTGTAATACAAACCTGGCGTTTATAAATGCTAGTGAGACTTTGAACATTCTTGGGATTTGTGTGCTATTTAAGCATCAGTATTTTATATAAAACTTATTGTTTGTAGAATGGCAAAGAAATATGGCATGAAGCTAATGTACAAAAAGACTTTTTGGGAATTTTATGAAGAAAAGGTTAAGAATGAGGAGCACAAAATACTTCTGCAACAAATGCAAGGTTTGGAGGTGAGTTCTTGACAGAATGTACAGATTGCTCTAAAGGCTGACCTGGTGAATTGTTCAACTATGTTCAAAATGGTAGTGTAGAGTAATTTTATTAAATGCGAATTTTTCTGTGCTAGTTACATCTTAATCCTGCAATTAAATACATATTTGTTGTTATTTCACTTAACTTAAAATCTTTGATTACTCTGTCTTTATCTACATATAGAATACAACATTTTAATTACATAGTGCATTGGTCATAATGTTTATTTGGATTTGTGATGATAGCCATACAGTAAAATCTCAAATTTGCTCAGAAGCACCCTTATATCATGCTTAGAATTGCTCCTAAAGCAACCTCTTTGGCTTTTTGTAATGCCGATGCTTATTTCTGTACTGATTGGTTAATTAACTCAGTTATTAAATAGTTGACTGTGCTATCCTGTGTCAGCATGCAGAAACTACAAACAAAATTATTGTGGCATCCTAAAGATCAGTAGATTTATTTCACTGTGGATTTTTATGGATTATAATTCATTTCCTCTGGCACATGAAATCAATATTTGTCCACTGGTTTGCACACATAATATGTATGGTTGTGGGAGTGGAGATGCAGTGAAAAGGGTAGAGGTAGAGATAAACTTAATGTGACAAAAGCATTGTTAACATAAGTGAGAAGCATTTGAAGTATTGGTCATGAAAACATTGTGCCAGTCAGTGTCTTGATGAACTCTTTCTCATGTAAACCTATGGTTGTCTTTAATGTGCGAATAGTTTTGTGTTAGAAGGTTATTATATTATGAGTAACTTCATCATATGTGTCTGAATGCTCTTATAAGCAACTATCCACCAATCTCCAGCTATATTCACAATGATTCAGCTATGTGCACAATCATTCTCTTTATTTTGTTTCTCAGAAATACCCTCCTGATGAAAAATCTAGTTTGGCCTCAAATAAAAGAGAAGACTATGAGCATGCAGAAATGCTTAAGAGTGATGGGAAAGCCAAACTACCTCTTGTGAGTATTTGCTAAATGAAATTTCTAGCCCTGAAACATAAGGGAAGATCTTCCACAGAAAAGAAAGCTGTTAACATAATATTGGTGATCATTGATCACAGTGACATCCTCTTGTAACCAGGTCACTTCTGTTGTGGTCTTTACATAGTCAAGGTTTCATGCAAATACTATTTGAAAAATCTGTACATGTATCTCATTGGTGGCCAGGTGTAAAGTGGCAGAACATGCAAGTTGTCTTATGATGCCATTGTTGATCAAAGCACTTTGGCAAAAGCTGATGAATGAGCCATAAATAGTGGTGCTGGGACCATGTCAGTGGCAACATGACAGAAGCTGTTTTTTGTTATTTGGTTGCCACAAGGTTGTGAAAGCAAATTCTTGTCATGGTCATCTTTTATCAGTCTCACAGCTCAGCATAACGCGAGAAGATACAGAGAGGCCACAGTGTGTTGCTTGTCCAGGAAATAGTATTTTTTAACATGGTTAGCTACAAAGTTCAGAGCCCTGAAAGCAAAAGGAAAGGTCTTACCTCTGTTAGTGTCTAGGTTTGGCAGCTAATATCTGATGATTTTCAAAAGATGTATCGATGCCCTCAGTCATAAACTGGTGCTCAAGAATATGTAACATTAGCTTTGTAAATAAGTTTACAGGTGTCACTAGCCTATAGATGTTTTTAGGCTGTTTGCCTTCAGTGTTTTTATGCCAAGACAGCTGTAGCCCACAACAAAAATCTGTAAGAACTAGTGCGCTCCTTTCCCTCGAGGCAGTTGTTACTCCCCACAGACAAGCTGCTACTTTCAAGCCTGCAGTCATAATATTAGGTAACTACCAATTAATACAGTTTAATATACAGTGGTGCCCCGCATAGCGACATTAATCCGTTCCGGATTAATCGTCGCTATGCAGAAACATCGCTAAACGGAACGGAAAAAGCCATAGGAACGCATTAAACTTTGTTTAATGCGTTCCTATGGCTCCCAAACTCACCGTTCAGCAAAGTTCCTCCATAGCGCTGCCATTTTCGCGCCCTCGGTAAGCGAGGGCAGGGCGCGAAAACACTTGCGGTAGCCATTTTCGGCACCCGGCCGCCACTTTGGCACTGCCGATCAGCTGCCTATTCAGGACATCGCAGTGCGATCGCATTAGCGATAAAAAAAATAGTTCGCTATGTGGATTCGTTGTTAAATGGTGCGCTCGTTAAGCGAGGCACCACTATGCTTAAAGTTGCATGGAGGTATGTGTTTATAGCACCTTCTGGTAATCCTGGGTAACTGTACTAGAACAATGTTTATGTAAGTATCATCATCATAATTATTATAATTGTAATTACATATTTCTTAATGCTCTAAGCATAGGGAGCAGAGGGGCAATGGACAGCTAGTTAGTAATTGCGCCTATACTTGTAATACTCTTTCTTTAAATTTTCTTCATATAAAAATAACCCTTTCAGCGTCATCCAGAGGGATGAGCTTGCAGATATTTGCATTTGAACTTGCATTTACTGCAAAATGAATAATAAACCTAGCCTTTTCATCCTTTTTTTGCTTTTATTTTTCAAACACAACAAAAAGAGAAGGGGAAAGAGAGAGAGAGAAAAAAAGAAAGCCAATGTCCCTTTTGCAACAAGGGGCTCAAATCCACTTATTTATCAGTTCTAAAATCTTTCAGCTTCAGGAACAATGGTGAAACACAGTGGTACATCATTTTTCTTAGCCTGGAGAAGAAATATCATTATTGATAAATGGAGTGTATCCCACTTAAAGGTGGGAACTGCTGGTTAGTGGACAAATGTTCTGCAGATTGTTTTAAATAATTATACTTGGTCTTTTCTGTTTGTAATCTGTGATTTACTGTTGTTGTGTTTTTCCCCCCCAAAGGGAACCCTGAGTAAATCTGAATGGGAAGCAACAAGTATGTACTATGATTAATGTTTAAATATTACTAAAATGTTTTAGTTATTTTCTTTGGTTGTATACTGTATATTTATAACACAGCCCAATAGCTGCACAAAATTAAATTTGTCTACCCTAGCTTCTGCCACTCTGAGCCTAATGTTTTCTTAAGGTACAGGTAGTTATTTAGCAGGATAATTTCATGAAAGAATTTGTCAAGAGTGTCAGTTGACTGAACCGGATTTAAAGACAATAAAAGAAAAAAGCAAGGCATCTAGCTTTGCAGCTCATTCAACTGACGCATAAGCATGTCAGATGCTGCATTAATACACTCAGAAGCACCAACATATTTATTTAGGATTGGTCACTGTGGCTGTGATCCATGCAGGCTGGTGGATGGATCTGGTCTAGCACTTTGAATGGGATGGAGGGCATATTAGAGTGTGTTTTGTGACTGCTTTTCTAAATGAAGAGTCACATTTCGCATCCTTGTCATTTTAAAAACACCCAGTATTATAAAATATGTAGGAAAAATTGGCATCATTCATTAGTGTTCCTGGTTTACAGTGATTTAATCTAGTTCAGTGGTCCCCAACTTTTATTGAGTTGCAACCTCCTTTTACAATAGCCAAGTAACCTGCGATCCCTCCTGCCATATTTGCATAAATACGCTGTCGTCGTTCCCTGATGTGGCAGCACTGATGCTGTTCCTGCTTGTCCTCTTGGTGCTCCTACCAGTGACTCTGCCACCGCCACTTCAAAAATGGGGAAGGAACAGGCTGGGGTAGGTTAAAGGTAGGGAGAAGAGAAGGCAAAAGACTTCAAAGATAGGCCAGAGGCAGAAGGAAATTGCAGTACTCGGGGAGGGGCAAAACCTTTGCACAGAGAAGGTCTCCCTCAGAAACTTTTCTTGTAAAAGAGAAGGGACATTTGTTTTTGTGTCTTCCTCCTGGGGGTTTGTTGTAAGTGTGTTTTTTTTTTCTTTTCCTCGCTTCCTTTAGGCTTTCTGGAAGTTGACATATCATGCTTAAAATCTCTTTCTTGTGAAACCAGCAATAATTATATCTTTGCGTTAGCATTTCTTTTTCATCTTTTCTTTTTAATAAAAAATAATCCCGGCCATTCCTTCTCAGAGAGCAAAGGCTTCTTTCTTCCCAAAGGACCTGTTTCTCATACATATGCGCTAACTTTAATATCCTGTTCTAAAAGGTCAGGGAAGAAATTAGTTGACAAGGGCTACAGCATATATGTGACCTACAGCCCCCCCCAAAAAACACTTTGCAACCCCCTTGGGGCCCTGATCCCCAGGTTGAGAAACATTAGTTGATTTTTTAGAAATCCTTTTGAAATAACTTTTATATTTCAAAAGGAACATCTTGCTATAGGTGTAATGGAACAGTACATGTAGCCACAGATTGTTTCTGTGTAGCCTGACAGTTTTGGTGCTGGAAAATGTATTTCAGCTTGATGTGGGAACCTGGTAATAGATTATGGAGATCCATAAACACTGTAATAAAAAGGGGGGTTGGAAAGCTTTCTGACAGATTCAATGGATGGGCCCTGCTTCCTTTGACGGCATGCAGGTTTTATATTTTGGCTCATACAGACTTGTTTAAACATTGAAGATTTGAGGATCATTCATGGTGGTCATTAAATTAAAAACCCTGCATGTGGAAAAGTCCTTGTGTCTAACCACACATTGATCAGCATCACAGTGATTGTGTTACTGTGAATTTCATATAACAGAGATGGCAACAGTTGTTCATCATCAGTTTTGGGGTGGGGGAACGCAAATGTTTATTTCACTCTTCAAAGAGATTGAAGTGAGTCCAAGGGTTATCCAGAAATAATTTTTTGTAATAGTAGACACTAAGGTTAATTTAAGTGATTTGTCTTCAGGATGTGTTTTGTGTTGTATATGTCAGCTAAGGATTCTCCAGTGATCTCCTGGGTTCATAAAAATAGCAGGACTGAGCATAATCTCATTATTTTCAAAAGCATTGAAACATATAGAGTATAATTGGTTGGTTTCTCTTGATCATTTAAAACTGGCAGATGTGGCCCAGTGGCACCATCATTGCAGCCACTGATAGTATTTCTATAACCATGTAGCACTTACATACTTTGTGGCCTCTGTACATGTCAGAGATGCAACAGTAAGCATCTGCTATCATCACATGGTAAAGATGCTGGTTGCACAAATAAATATCCAATGATAATATTTATGGAAGTCATTTTTAGTCTTAAAGATTATAGAAGATTTAGTAACTAACTTGTCATTCTAAGGGAACATAAGGATTTAAAATGCTGAAATAAATTGTGCACTGATGCGTGGTCAAAGCAAACTGCTGTACTCTATTTGAAAACAAAAATTGTATTACTGTATATAAACATTTCTCATAAATCTGAGAGACTTTACTAAAAACAGAAAAGAAAAAGCTGTATTTGAGTAGTCCTTCAGCAACTGAATTTGGTATTGTTAACAGGTGGGATGTTGCTCCATTTGAGAAGTTCTGTGTTTGATTGTTTGAGAAAAGAGAACTAATACAACTGGATTTTTTATAAAAGGAGGAAGGCTAGTAATTATTGTTTTTTTTTCTTTTTGCAGGTATATATTTGATTTTTGCATTCGAAAAACAGCAGTAATAGAAAGACCATGAAGAAAACCAGCTGAAGTGATCCAACATCCAAAGTGACTGCTATTTTATATTTTTATGTTCAAGAGTGTGCAGGACACAATCAATCTAGGCAAGCTTACATATGAGTTATAGTTGCCTGTCTGTGACAGATGGAATACTTGTGCATATGTGTGTGCATATATACACATGATATAGGAGTCTGAATTCTTCTTTTTGGTTGGGAGGGTTTGGTTTCTGTTTTTAACAAAGAGCAAGTTTTCTGAAGTACTCAGGGGGTTTTCAAACACACATTTGCCACTGATTGCTTTAAAACTACTTCATGGCAGCTAACACCGTCTTACATAATATAGCTTCCATCCAGGTAGTAGTGTAACTATTGCCATGGGGTTGAGGATCCTGCTTATTGCATTTCCAGAGGCTACAGATAACTAGCTACAAATATGGTTAGAGTTTACTGAAGATAAATGTTGAAGTGGCCACTGTGCAGCAAGTGTTCATTTGAAGTCTCCCATCATGAAATATTCTGAACTGTATAAAGCTGTAAAATAAATTTGCCAGTGTTGATACAAATGAGACAGGATTCAATACTCATTGCAATCCATAATAAAATTGTTGCTTGCCTCTTGGAGCTATGTGAACAGCTGTGTCGTTTCAGAAGAAACCATGGTCAAACCATTTTTCATTAATGAAAATGCTCTTGCATATGTGTCTGCATCAGGATGCCACACTTCATTCACTGTTCATTGCTTGGGCCTTTTATCTCCATTCCACAGTGCATTGTTTTCAGTGTTAAGTAACTGTGCTTTGTGTATGCAATGGGAGAGTATTTGGAGGAATACTAATCTGTTTGTGGTCATTGCTGTTTCATAGAAATCATCAAGATTAAATGGAATTCTGTTCTCTACAACTGGTGTGAGAAGTCAGTTTTCTAACTACATGGTTGTTCATGTGGAATCTTACAAAAGACATGCAAGTAGCAAAATCAGTTGAACTTTAGAAGACATAAAAACAAAACAATCACTTTTCCAGGATATAGTTGAGTATTGCTTTGTGAACCACTTTAGAGAAAATCTGTTGGCAGGACATCTTTGGGATGGAGACAGTTTTAAGTACAGAAGAGGAAGTGAACTCTGCATGGCCAGATTGCCTTGCAAATCATGATTTTTTTTCATCAGTGTTACTTGGATGTGCATCACTCCGTGGTTAATTTTGCCATGAATCATAGAATGATATAGGTGACAATGCATGTTTGTACCCATTGAACATAATATGCTGTTTCCAGTATTATGAGAGACATGGAAAGAATGATTAACTAGTGTGTGAACCACCTTAGTTCCCAGTTCTGAACAAAGGTGAGATACCAATAAATAAATACATTCCTGCAAATAAGATTTGAGGTGTTTTTTGACTATACAATTTGAGTCTGCAGGGAGTAGCTTAATGAAGAATGTTTTGTTGTGAAAAGGGGATTTAATCCAGTTTTCACCTAACAAGCTGATATTCTGTGCGCAGGGAACATAGTTGTAAGGAATAGAAATTAACTATGTGTTAATTTCCCTGCAGTCTGAAATAATGCAATCTGGAAATGAGTTTACCACTTCATTTGTGTATAAGAACTTCATCACAGGATACACACATGCTGTGGATGTTCTTGGCAGCTGTAGGCTTAGTTTATATCTGTAAGATATACTGATCCAGGAAATTTAGTCTCTTTGGGGTGAGGTCACTTCTCAGTTTGACAAAGGTCTATGTTGTTTGCATGCATGCCCTTAAATGAGACATTTCACTGCTTCATCAAGGTGACCTACTGAAAGTATGTTTTGCCACATTAATACAGTGGTGCCCCACTTGACGATTATCCCGCTTGATGAGGAAATCGCTTAATGATGAGTTTTTTCCGATTGCTATAACGATCACAAAACAATGATTCAATTGGGTTTTTTCGCTTCATGACTATCAGTTCCCTGCTTTGGGAACCGATTTTTCACTTAGCAACAATCTAAAAACAGCTGATGGGCGGTTCACAAAATGGCTCTCCGCTGTTTTGCTGACCTATTTTCGCTTTACAGGCATCAGAAAATGGCCGCGCTATGGAGGATCTTCGCAGGACGATCAGGTATTTCCCCCATTGGAACGCATTGTTCTGTTTTCAATGCATTCCAATGGATTTTTTTCCGCTTGTCGACGATTAACAGCGATTTTGATGGAACACATTATCGGCGTCAAGCGGGGCACCACTGTACCTCTTTTAGTTTATATATGCTGCCTTTTTCCCAGGGCCGATACCCAAGGCATATGCCACATAGCCAGATTTTATAATAATTATTACTCCAGCAAGCACTAAAGTGAAATATATGTGGTCATGGGTAGCATTGCACACATACATATTTGTATGTCTTGTCTGATACAGATTTTGAGCACTGAGTACTGTTTTAGTCAAAAATGTTTTCTTGAAATAGAAAAATGTGGTCAAATTTCTTACAGATAAAATAGGTGCAAGATTGGATCTAGTCTGTAAGCTGCCATTCCTACTGTAGATGAAATACATAGTTGAGATTGCATAGGTTCTTAACTATCCACTGAAAGGTGGAGTGCCTAGCTCATTTAAATTGGGCTCATGAATGCTCCAATTTGCCAGATCCTAATTTGGAAATGTGTTGTCTTTATTACTTGGAGCCAGCCCTCTCACTAGCTAAAATGAGGCAGTTTCTTTGGGTGGTAGACCAAGAGCAACTGATTTACTGCTCCCCCCTCCAGAGAGTGGATAAATCAAAGCCAGCCTATTCTTTTTTATAAGCTCTATGGAGTTGCTGCATGGGGGAAATAATGCAGTGGCACAGATTATTCCTCTGGCCACAAGCAATACCTGGCTCTAAGGTACTCTGAGCTTGGCAGTTAGAAAGTATGGCAATATGGAGAACAAGAGATGGGTAGGAGAAAAGGAGGAGGAAGAGGCAGCAGGGAGGCCTGTAAGTGATGGAAGAAATTTATATTGTTCAGGAGAAAGTACAGGGTGGAGAAGACAGGAAGAGGGTGATAGGGACTTGAGGCACTGGAGGGCGGTTATGAGCCAAGACTTGGTGATGGGTCAGTGGTGATGCGATAAAGCGCATGAATGGAGGTGAAAGGGAATATGCCAGAGGAAAGATGTGAGGAAGTGGGAAGCATTGGGGGGGGGATAGCAATTCTCTTTCCTCAGATGGGGAGCAAGCTTGGGTTGAACCCAAGGATGGATTCAGTCCCACTCTGACCTTGAAACTCACTGGGTCACATTACAGTGGCTTATCTTGTTTTAAGACTGGAATGAGATACTTCTTTATATTCTTGTGATTTGTGAAATTAAAGTATAAGCTAGGTGAATAATACATTTAATGTAAAAACTGCTTGAAAATATAAAGAGAAGAACCTTGATTAGTGTTGCATATCCCTTAATTGCTTAGTACAGTGGTGCCTTGCAAGACAATGTTAATCCGTCCCATTGAAATCGCTGTCTTGTCAGAACATCGTCTTGCGAAATGCGATTCCCCATTGGAATGCATTGAAATCCGTTTAATGCATTCCAATAGGGAAAATAGTTGTTTTGTGAAAATCGCCCATAGGGAAGCTATTTTGGGAAGCTCTGATCAGCTGTTAAAATGACTGTCTTGCAAAGCATCGATCCCAAAAACACCTGTTTTGTGAAGCGCCTATCAGCTGTTAAAATCGTCGTCTTCCGAAGCATCGGTCCCGGAAAAAAAAAGTTTTGCGAAGCACGGACCGAAACATCGTATAGCGAAAATCGCCCATAGGAAACACGGTTTTGCTAAGTGCTATAGCAATCGCAAAAATTCATTGTTATGTGGATTCGTCGTTTTGCCAGGTAATCATCTAGCAGGGCACCACTGTATTTGCTGTGTATTTACAATTCATTTTTGGGCTCATCGTTTTGAAGCCAAATGTGTTTTCACTCTCCATGCAGCCGATCACTGTCTAGCAGTTCAAATGCAGGTTATGTCTTGTCTAAAAAAGGTTGTAGCTGGCTGGATAGCTCAGTGAGTAGGTATCTATTTTACTTGTTATTTTTGTTTTAACGTATTGTTGATGGTATTTTTATATTGGTTTTAAATCACCCAGAATAGTGCATAAGCACTAACGGGGCATATATTATATCTGGCTACAAAGCCAGAGGATGGGAATTTGATTTAGGATGCCCTCAGAAGAAGGGGATCGGCAAATATTTCTGAGTGCTCTCTACCTAGAAAGCCTGAAAAGCGTTACCATAAGTATTATTATTATTATTATTATTAACAGATAAAAGTTTTAACCAAAAACCTAATTATACTTCTCCCTTCAATTGCACGGGTTCAAGCAGTGCGATTTTGGTTACACATAGATTTTTTTTAAAAAAAATCAGTAAACAAATACTGTGACACTGAAGACAGTGAGGTAGTCTACTTACCCCCAAGCACAACATCTCTAATTCAGCCTCTAGAACAGGGGGTCGTAAGGACCTTTAAGGCTCATTATATACAGTAATGTAAGTAAAGGTTTGTTAGTGTTATGGAAGAGAACCTTGACAGAAACAACATTGTGACAGCCTGGAAAGATTACACCATTAAAGATGCTATCATTGTTATAGAAAAACCTGTAGATTCCTGGTGGAGAAAACTGTAGATTTCATGCATAACCTGTCGAGACATAAGGCAGAGCCAATTGAGAAAATCATGGAAGAGATTGTGGGCATTGCAAAAAAGGCATGTGGTGCAGTGAAGGGTTTCAAGATAGGAATCTTGGAGAAATTCAAAAGCTAATAGACACCGTGCCTGTGTGCTAGGGAAAAACTATGTTCGTTTGGGGGTGGAAGGCTTTATTGGAGGTGAAGTCCTCTGAAGATGCCGGCCACAGAGACTGGCGAAACGTTAGGAGGAACAACCGTCAGAACACGGCCAAAGAGCCCGAAAAACCCACAACAACCAGAAGCCTTTATTTCTTGAGATGATATACTTTGTTGCTTTCCAACCTTTCTTTGAAGACTGGCATATTTTATTTATTTTTATTCGGGGTTTTTCTGTGCTTTTTCCCAATTATTGTTAATAATAGATCTGTGAATGCTTCATACTTAAAAGGCAGACTAAATAAAATGAATCATAAAGATGACAGAGTGGCCAGTGGTGTATATAGGGAAGAAACAGAACTGTCAAAAGCTATAAAACACCAATTCCAGCTGTTTATTCCTAACTGCCATTCTTGAAAATTTGTTACGACTCAAAAAACCATACACATGTGACAGAGCCAATCAGTCAGAAAAGACAGATTCTAAGGGGAAGAAGATACATTAAGTGCAACCAATTCAGAGTGTACCTCCCTCTATGCAATAGAAACCTCTGTTGATAAGGTTTAATGAGCATAAAACAACAGACATGTCGCACAGTAAACACGATCGGTGCCATGGTTGTGCTTGAAGGATAAGCATGCGACTAGATCAGCCTCAATAAAGATTCCTCCTTTGGCAACAGAACAAAAACATCGAAGAAAGCAATGTGAAAACAGATATTAACATTAAATGAGTAGAAACAACATATGTTACATATTAAACGTGTCTTAAGAAGATAGGTGTTTTGAATTAAATTAGATGTCCTGTCCCTTTTGATACAGATGTGGTGATTCCTCCCAACCTTGAGACTGAAGCTGGTGCATAATGTTTATATATTTTTACTCCAGATTTATTTTA